GAAGGCCTTTGACAAATTTCATCAGCCCTTTATGCTAAAGACCTTCAATAAACTAGGTATTGGTGGAACGTATCTCAAAATAACAAAAGCTATTTATGACAAACCCACAGCCAATATCATACGGAATGGGCGAGAACTGGAAGCATTCCCTTTGAAATCTGGCACTAGACAAGGATGCCCTCTCTCACCACTCCTATTTAATATAGTATTGGAAGTTGTAGCCAGAGCAATCAGGCAAGAAAAAGAAATAATGGGTATTCAAATAGGAAGTCAAATTGTCTCTGTTTGCAGATGACGTGATTGTATATTTAAAAGACCTCATCATCTCAGCCCAAAATCTCCTGAAACTGATAAGCGACTTTAGCAAAGTCTCAGGATACAAAATCAACTTGCAAACATCACAGGCATTTCTACACACCAATAACAGACTTAAAGAGAGCCAAATCAAGAACGAACTGCCATTCACAATTGCTACAAAGAGAATAAAATACCTAGGCATACAGCTAACAAGGAACGTAAAGGACCTCTTCAGGGAGACCTACAAACCACTGCTCAACGAAATAAGAGAGGACACAAACAGATGGAGAAACATTCCGTGCTCGTGGTTAGGAAGAATCAATATCGTGAAAATGGCCATACTGCCCAAAGTAATTTACAGATTCAGTGTTATCCCTATCAAGCTACCAATGACCTTCTTCACAGAACTGGAGAAAACTACCTTAAACTTCATATGGAACCAAAAGAGAGCCCACATAGCCAAGTCAATTCTAAGCAAAAAGAACAAAGCTGGAGGCATCACATTACCGGACTTCAAACTATACTACAAGTCTACAGTAATCAAAACAGCATGATACTGGTACCAAAACAGAGATATAGACAAATGGAAAAGAACAGAGGCCTCAGAGGCAACACCACACATCTACAATCATCTGATCTTTGACAAACCTGACAAAAACAAGCAATGGAGAAAGGATTCCCTGTTTAATAAATGATATTGGGAAAACTGGCTAGCCATGTGCAGAAAGCAGAAACTGGACTCCTTCCTGACACCTTACAGTAATGTTAACTCTAGATGGATTAAAGACTTAAATGTAAGACCTAACACCATAAAAACCCTAGAAGAAAATCTAAGCAAAACCATTCAGGATATAGGCGTAGGCAAGGACTTCATGACCAAAACACCAAAAGCATTGGCAACAAAAGCCAAAATAGACAAATGGGACCTAATCAAATGCCACAGCTTCTGCACAGCAAAAGAAACTGTCATTAGAGTGAATTGGCAACCAACAGAATGGGAAAAAATTTTTTGCAATCTACCCATCTGGCAAAGGGCTAATATCCAGAATCTACAAAGAACTAAAACAGATTTACAAAAAAAAAAACCAAGCAAGCCCATTCAAAAGTGGGCAAAGGATAAGAACAAACACTTTACAAAAGAAGACATACATGAGGCCAACAAACATATGAAAAAATGCTCATTATCACTGGTCATCAGAGAAATGCAAATGAAAACTACATTGAGATACCATCTCACGCCAGTTAGAATGGCGATCATTAAAAAATCTGGAAACAACATGTTGGAGAGGATGTGGAGAAATAGGAACACTTTTACACTGTTGGTGTGAGTGTAAATTAGTTCAACCATTGTGGAAGACAGTGTGGTGATTCCTCAAGGACCTAGAAATAGAAATTCCATTTGACCCAGCAATCCCATTACTGGGTATGTATCTAAAGGATTATAAATCGTTCTACTATAAGGACACATGCACACGAATGTTCATTGCACTGTTTACAATAGCAAAGACGTGAAGCGAACCCAAATGCCTATCGATGATAGACTGGACAGGGAAAATGTGGCACATATACACCATGGAATACTATGCAGCCATAAAAAACGATGAGTTCGTGTCCTTTGTAGGGACATGGATGAACCTGGAAACCATCATTCTCAGCAAACTGACACAAGAACAGAAAATCAAACACCACATATTCTCACTTATAGGTGGGTGTTGAATAATGAGAACACATGGACACAGGGAGTGGAGCATCACACACTGGGGTCTGTCAGGGGGAAATAGGGGAGGGACAGCGGGGGGTGGGGAGTTGGGGAGAGATAGCATGGAGAGAAATGCCAGATATAGGTGATGGGGAGGAAGGCAGCAGATCACACTGCCATGTGTGTACCTATGCAACAATCTTGCATATTCTTCACATGTGCCCCAAACCTAAAATGCAATTAAAAAAAAAAGACAAAAAAAAAATCAGAGAAATCAAAAGTTAAATATTTGTTACCATGGGACTACAGTAATTGAACTGGGATGGTAGGAGAGGAACAGAATGGTACTATGCTGGAAATTCAGATTTTGGATGGGTGAGTAGTATGGAGAACAAATAACTGAGAGGCCACAGTGTTCAGTGGGACATCAATGTGAATGTTAGAATGAATACAGACGTTGAGGTGGAAAAGAAAGATACTGAATTTTCACTGGTTAGGAAGTTGGTAGATTGTAGCAACAAGAAGGCTCTTTTTAGTAGTGTAGTTGTATAGATTGAGGCTTCAAAGGTAATAGGGTTGTTGAAGGAGGAAGGAGCAGAAGAGGACTGTAGGTGCCAGTGTGAGCAAAGAGAAGCTGTTTCTTACCTCCTAGGTCTATGGCATGTGAAATGTAAAAGAAGCCAACTGCAACCTGTAGGGTCTCTAGAGGAATTAGCCACATTTTCATTGAGATAGAACTTGTTGTGGTTAAAAGAAAGGTTGAAAATATGGAGGGAACTTGGCTGATCCAGATTGGGAGTTCCAGAGGGCACAGAAGAATTTAAGAGAGTGGTAGGGAGGGAATTGGGCAAGACTGGGGCATATACATGGCAATATGAGGATGAGAGTCTAAGAAGTAAACAGGTAAAGGATACCCTTGTGAGATTTACGTTTCTGGTGGTGACTGATGGAGCCCAGCAGAGATGCAGGCCATGATAGTACTAATCCTGATACCAAAGAAGGTGGGCAGTGTGTTCCAAATGGGGACAGGTTGTGGATGGAGTACAAGAAGGGAGGAGGGGCTGTTTCCTTCAGCACTAGGTTTATCTAATTGATGCACGTGAGTCTGTTTCAGTTATTATATATAGCACCACTGTAGCTCTCTTTTTTCTGTAGACTTTCTGCAAAATTCAGTTATAAGTTCCACCAAATAGTTCAAAATTTATACTAGCTAGACCCAATTAGTAAATGCAAATGGATAACTAATCAGTTATAAATGCCTGATTACTAATTAGTAACCCAGAATCTTGGTTGAGACTAAATGAATTTTTAAGTAAAAGAATGTTAGCCTTTGCTGTGGTTTTGTCTGATTGTCACCTTGTCTGCCTGTGATGGCACTTTATTACATGATATGAGTATCCCTTCAGGGAAGACTGCTCCAGTTTGTACAGTTAGGTACTTTTTTCTCTATGTTTTTTCAGAGTCTCATACTTGCTTTCGTCACATTGTTGGTAATTATTTTCTTAAACATCCATTTCAGATTCTGAAAACCTGGTCATCAGGCAGGTAGTTGGTACTTAGTAATTGCTGGTTGAATATGGCATTTTGTTCAGCAGTTAAGTGCCAGCCATTGTACCTGGTGTTGGGAACATAAGCACTAATAAGGCCCCAGTGTTTAGAGCTTAACTGTGGTAGTTACATCATTGTTGTGTTTTGTTAGGAGGCAACATTATTATGTTGAAGTCAAAATAAATAAACAGATATCTAAATTTAATGTTTTATTTTGGGAAGCAAGTATTGCGATTTGAGGCATACACACTAAGTGGTATATATATATATATATATACCACTTTATATATCTATATCATACATACAAAAGCTAAGTGGTCTTTTGTATATCTGAAGAACAAAGAGAAGGTTGGCCATTTTATTGGAATGAAAAATGTTATGTATTATTTGGAAAGAAAGCTCATTAGTACTAGAAATAGTAGGTAAAACTAGCTTAGAGTCATGCCAGCTACTGGGGAAAACTGGTCTTAGGGTTACAGCAGCCCCTCTCAGTAGCTGGGCTTTTGGAAAATTTAATTCTTGGAGCAGGTGTTCTGAGCCCTGAGTGCCTTTCCCCCTGGTGCTCCCTTTACTCTGACTTAGGTAACAAGAATGACCCAATTTGTGTAATCAGTGTGTTCACAGATAGAATGGAGCTTGTACTGCATATTAGGGACAGATTATTAGAAGTGTTATGTGGATGCACTTAAGTCTAATAATCTGACTGGCTCAACTCATGAAAATGTTCTTATTTTCTGTAGAATAAATAAAACCTTAAGAGGCTAATTTCATTTTTGTTATTGATTTTGTTTTTCTTCCCCTAAAACATATTTGCTAACGGCTTCAAGCTATTTTATTTTACCTTAGCAAGTAGTTGTTATTTCTGAAAACAATATCTCTACATATAATTTTTATACCAGTTGGCAGATGTTGTTTATAAACATTCATTGCTACTACTTATTTTGAACATATTTGGTATAGTCACATTGGGGTGTCTACTTTCTTAGCCTGTAATCTCAAGAAAAATCCATGTGTCTAATATGGGGAAACTATCATGGTAAAGGAAAATGTGAGAATTGGATTAAGTGAAATGAGATGGAGAACAGTTTTGTGAATTTGATCAGTAGCAGTATGGAGACAGGCAGGATGATTGAGTAGTTACTATTCTTTATATATCTAGCATTCTCAAAGAGCATAGGGAGACATTTGGTGGAGGTATCAGTATCATTTGGGCAGCTTTAAAAACAAAAACAAAAAAAAAAAACCTTCATATTTCAAAGCCATTATGGTCACTTATACAGTCCAACTTTTTCTTTCCCTGAGGAAACTGAAAGCAGATAGGTTAAATGATACTCTGAAGGTTGCCCGGTTAGTGGTAGGTACAGATTTCCTGACTCGTAAGTAGACTTTCTGTTATTGTTAGTTCATTTGCTTCCAAAATTTAATGACCTCCTCTTTTAATTTTTTTTTAAATCAGACAGTGTTAAAACAGGAGAAAAATAACTATAATGCCTGGGTTTTTATTGGTGTTGCTGCAGCTGAACTAGAACAACCTGATCAGGCCCAGGGTGCCTATAAAAAAGCTGCTGAATTAGAGCCAGACCAATTACTAGCTTGGCAGGTAAGTAGAAAAAAATTTTTTTCGGTATTATTGGAATGGATTTTTTTTTTTTTTGCATTTTTCAAAATACCGATAACAACATTAAGCTAAGCATTTAGACCTACATTTGCCCCATGTAAGAAAAAATTTAAATTTATTAGTTTTCTAAACCAAAATCTTAGTTTAGAAAAAAAGTGGTGCAAAGGATGTTTGTTAACACTATTTAACATCCTGCCTAATGGATGATTTCTAAATGTGAGCACTCAAATATCAATCTCTACCTTAGTTACATACGCATGCAAAAGACTTATCCACAATGTTATTCTTTATGCTTACTGAGGAAAGATGTTTTTTAATGTTTCCTAAAAATAAAATAATATAAAAATGTTAATGTTTCTATTTTTGAGTGAAGGTTAAATTCTTTTTTTTTTTTTTTTTTCGCTTAGTGGTCTTAATGTTTTTGCTTAGATTCTCCAATTTTTTCATATTTAATAACTTTGTTTGGTATCTCAATCACACCTTTGAGACTGATTAATAGGATGTAGTAGGCTCTGGAGAGTGTGAACCTGTTTGTCTCAGGCTCATGTGAATAAGAACTTGAGGATATCTGGTAACACATTTAGAGAAATAGCTGCTTTTATAGTATACTGAGTGGTTTAGGATACCTACTCCTTCTTTGAAGCAAAAATGACAATTTTCACAGACTACTTAATTTTTTTTTTATCATATCATAAAGGTAATGTCACATAAATTTTAAAATTAAATTTTCACAACAACCCCTCCACCAATGATAACTGTAGAATGGTTATGCTAGTTAGCTTGACTGTGTTGGTTATTTCACAATGTATACATATATCAAAACATCAAGTTACATTTTTTAAAAATATACAATTTTATATGTCAATGATATATTAATAAAATAGTTTAAAATATATGCTGAAATTAAAAAAAGAAAGTGTCACATAGTACTTTTAGATGGTAAGATTGTAAAATAGCCATTAAAAGTGTTTATTATTGTGAAACACTTAAAATGAATTTTCAAAAGAAAAGGGAATGGTATAACGAACCCCTTTATTCCTGTCATGCAGACTCAACAATATTCAATTTACCTGTGTCCTCCAACCTCCAGTTTTTATATTTAGGGGCAAATCCCAGACATATTATTTCATTTGTAAATTATAATATCTTTTTTCATAAATAATCTTTATAGTTTATCATATTATTTAGCAAAATAAATGAATGTGAGAACAGCAAATGCTTTAGGAAAAAGAATAATCACGACTACTTCTTCTTTTAGGGGTTGGCAAACTTGTATGAGAAATGTAATCACATAAATGCTAAGGATGACTTACTTGGTGTTTACCAAAAGCTCCTGGATCTTTATGAAAGGTAAAAAATGTATGAGGAAAGTCCAGTTTCTTTCAAAGCTGAAATTTTAATAAACTGATTAAAATTCATATAGAAGTATTCATACATTTGTTACAGAATTATTTGTGATTGAAATAGAATCAAAACATTATTAGTAAAAAGACTAATTTTAGAACTCCAGTATTATTTTCAGACAATTTAATGAAAGACAATATTTCTTAAACCTGTTTTTTATGAGGAGATCATTTTAGAAAATTTTACTGTAGTATGAAAGAAGATATGTTCTAATCTAAAATAGTACCTGAAATTGTTAATGGAATACTTAAATTTTAGTGTTTTAAGTCCTTGGTTATTTTTATTAATCAGATTCAAAATCCTTTTGTGTGTGTGTGTTTTGTTTTCTTCTAAGTGTTGACAAACAGAAGTGGTGTGATGTCTGCAAGAAACTAGTGGATCTATATTACCAAGAAAAGAAACACCTAGAGGTTGGTGAATGATTTTTTCTCTTCTTTTAATAATAGATGGGATTCTATGCTTTTGCTATTTTTATGTATTAACAGATTAAAAATATTTTTATTTGCAGATCATACATTTTGACATTTTTATATTTTGGACAAAATAATCATTGAAAATCTCCTTCTTTAATAGGTGGCACGAACATGGCACAAGTTGATAAAGACGCGGCAGGAAGAAGGCGCAGACAACCAAGAACTTCATCAACTATGGAGAAAGCTGACGCAGTTCCTGGCTGAAAGTACAGAGGACCAGAATAATGAAACCCAGCAATTGGTATTGACTCATTTATTCCTCAAGTTTGTTTTTGAAAGTTGATCATCTAATTGAATTTAGAAAATGGAAACATAATTGATTATTGTCATTTTAATTTCTACTTCCCTAATAATGTTGAGTGTCTTTTCATGTGTTTATTTGCATCTGTATATTTTCTTTGGTGAAGTGTCTGTTCGTATCTTGGCTCATTTTTTATTGGGTTTGTTTCTTTTTATTGAGTTAAAAATTTTTTTTTTAGGTTTTTTGGGAACAAGTAGTATTTGATTACATGAGTAAGTTCTTTAGTAGTGATTTGTGAGATTTTGGTGCACCCATCACCTGAGCAGTGTACACTGAACCCAGTTTACAGTCTTTTATCCCTCACCCTCGTCCCACCTTTTTCCTTGGGTCCCCAAAGTCCATTGTATTATTATTATGCCTTTGTGTTCTAGCTTAGAGTGAGAACATACAATGTTCTTGTTGTATGTTGGCTTATGAGTGAGAACATACGATGTTTGGTTTTTCGTTTCTCAGTTACTTCACTTAGAATGATAGTCTCCAGTTTTATCCAGGTTGCTGTGAATGCCATTAATTCATTCCTTTTTATGGCTGATTACTGTTCCATTTTGTGTGTGTGTGTGTGTGTGTGTGTTTATCACAATTTCTTTATCCACTCATTGATTGATGGGCATTTGTCCTGATTCTGTATTTTCACAGTTGTGATTGTGCTGCTATACACATGCATGTGCAAGTATCTTTTTTGTATAATGACTTCTTTTCCTATGGGTAGATACCCAGTAGAGGGATTGCTGGATCAAATGGTGTTCTACTTTTAGTTCTTTTTTTTTTTGAGGCAGAGTCTCACTGTGTTGCCCAGGCTGGCATGCAGTGGCACGATCTCGGCTCACTGCAACCTCTGCCTCCTAGGTTTAAGCAGTTCTCCTGCCTCAGCCTCACAAGTAGCTAGGATTACAGACATGTGCCACAATGCCTGGCTAATTGTCGTATTTTTAGTAGAGACAGAGTTTCACCATGTTAGCTATGCTGGTCTTGAAGTCCTGACCTCAAGTGATCTGTCCACTTCAGCCTCCCAAAGTGCTGGGATTACAGGCATAAGCTACCACGCCCTGCCTGCTTTTAGTTCTTTAAGGAGTCTCCACACTGTTTTCAATAGTTGTACTAGTTTATACTCCCACCAGCAGTGTAGAAGTGTTTCCTTTTTGTCATATCTGCACCAACATCTATTGTTTTTTAATTTTTTGATTATGGCCATTCTTAGAGGAGTTAGGTGTATCACACTGTGGTTTTGGTTTGCATTCTCCTAATCATTAGTGATGTTGAGCATTTTTTCATGTTTGTCAACCATTTGTATATCTTCTTTTGAGAATTGCCTATTCATGTCCTTAGCCCACTTTTTAATGGGATTGTTGGGTTTTTTTCTTGCTAATTTTTTGAGTTCCTTGTAGATTCTGGATAGTAGTTCACGAATTACATTGGAAATAGGACATTCAATGATAATTCAATGGATGCTCAAAAAAGGAAAGACCATATGTTAGACTAGGTATTTTGTAAATGTACAATTTTAAATTCATAGAGGCTCTTTTAGATAAAGTCAGAATTATTGGCCTATAGTCTCATATGGAGTCTGGATAGTGTGGAATTTGTACTCAGTGTATCAGAATTTCATTCTCTTGTGTTGGTAAGAATCCTTGATAAATCAGTAACTTAATCACTATAAAAAAGGAAACAACTGCTATGGTGTCTAAAAAGTTGTACCTTTAAAGGTGTGTTCCTTTATACTTCTGAACTAAGAGTACTGAATTACTTTGACGTTTAACAATTCCACTGTTTAGAGTATTTATATTTAGTATTTAGAGTATTTACACCTAGAAAAAAAGTCTTATATTGTGCAGATTTTAAAGTAATTGAAAAGATTTTTTTGAAAGACTAAAAAAATAAATTGGTTTTGAAGCACTTTGGAAAATATATCCTTTTTTTTTATTTGTAAGTTTAAAGGTCAGTTTAATTTCTTATTATAGTAAATAGCTACTCAATGTACACTTGTTAAATTGAGTAGAATTTTTAAATAAATAAATGTAGGCTCTATATAGGATAGGAAGTTCATTTCTTTGTATATGTGTTTGTTCACTCATTAATTTGTTCCTTTATTCAGAAAGTATTTATTGACTACCTGTTGTGTGTCAGGCAGTGTTCTAAGTGCTGCAGATAAAAATGTGAGAATAAGATTCCTGCTTTTTGTGTGATAATGTGATTTATGTGTGCATAGATTTGGTCATGGAAAAAATTGAGCAGTCACAAATACAGGCTCTGTGTAGGATAGGAAGTTCATTTCTTTGTAAATCTGTTCATTTGTTTATTCATTGTTTATTCAGCAAATATTTCTTGACTACCTACTATGTGTCAGGCAGGGTCCTAAGAGCTGGGGATAAAAATGTGAGAATAAGATTTGTGTGTGTGTGTGTGTGTGTTTGTGTGTGTGTGTGTGTGTGTGATAACATGATTTATCTGTGCACAGACTTAGTTGTGGAAAAAAAGAACAGTGACAAAATTAGGTAATTTACTGGTTTCTCTTAAATTATGTAATACCATAAAATAACTTCATTATTTTCCTTAAAATAGGGTTGGTTACCAGAATACCAAACACATTCCAAAATAAGTAAAATGACTTTTTGAATTGTCTTTCCTACCCTCTTCCATGAGAGAGAATTAATTATACTTATGATTTTAAGAATTGATTTCTAGCTGTTAATAATAGATAAAGGATAGAGGATTTATTGTTACCTTGAATACTGAGTATTTAGAAAAAAATGTATCACAGATTTTTCAATTGGAATAATTTTATTACTGTTTTTAAAAATCTGTGGTAGACCATTTTGAGCTATGTTTCCTTATTTGTAAGATTATTATCAGGGCAGTAACATTTTACTTATTTATGTAGACTTTATACCATACTTTCCAAGCAAAATTTGAGATACGGATTTTTGGTATTAAGTCATAGTATTCATTTTAAAAATGCAGAACATGTAGCCAAATGTGTGGTATAAAGGGCTTTATACCATTTGCCTTGGATTCTAGTATTGCTGTTCTTATTCAAGACATATTTAGAAGGCCTCTTGGCCTTCAAAGTCAGATAATACTGCATAAGAAAAGTGTTGGAATGTTCTTCAGAGTCAGTACTGCAAAAAAGAAGTGATGGAATGTTCTTCAAAGTCAGTTAAAACTGCATAAGAGAAGTGATTTCATTACAGTTCAGTCATATCTCTGCTTTTCTTTTACCAAAAGTATCACCTGATTTTATAAATATTTTTTTAAAGGTTGAAGATTTGCTGTCATTGAAGATATTTCAAAGAATGTGCTAGTGATTTCAGAAGAGATGTTTTAAAAATGATATGTGAGCAGTAGTAGCTATACTAGCATATAGAACTATTCTCTGGTGGAATGCTTTGTAGAAGACAGCAAGTACTTGCAAGTGTGTTTTGTTAAGTTAATGGTATTAATGTATAGTTGTTACTTACCAGTTCAGTACAGTTTGCTGTCCAGTTGGAGTTACAATGCATTCCAAAACTTACATATACATTTTTTCCTCATTGAAGTTGTCAGGGTCAGACTGGAGAATACATTTGCAGCTAATTGAAGGTGTAGTTCGTGTAAGAGGGTCTTATACATTTAATCATTTGTCATTTAAGTATGATATCGATGATAGCTTTTTTATTTGTTTCAGCTTTTAACTGCTTTTGAGAATGCACTGGGATTATCAGATAAGATTCCTAGTGAAGATCACCAAATACTTTATAGGCATTTCATTCAGAGTTTATCCAAAGTAAGTTGATTTTTAAATCTGTAATGTGACATGTATGTATTTCTAATTAAGAAAGTGTTCACAAATATGTTTTACGACTATTATAGTGTATTTTTCTTCTATATTTTCAAGTTTCCTCATGAGACTGCTAGATTGAAGAAGGCCTGTGAAGGAATGATAAGCATCTATCCTACTGTACAGTATCCATTAGAAGTGCTTTGTTTGCATTTAATTGAATCAGGTAATTTCTTCCTTATTATAGGGTGTGTCTTAGAGGTATATGATTGTATGAGTGATATTATTAATCAAAAAATGTTTTAGTGCCTACCATGTTTAGGGTGTTCTTTCTGTGTTTCTGGACATAAAACGAAGTACAGCATGTAGTCTTTGTGTACATGAAAAGACTAATAAATATAGGAAAGTACAGTAATACAGAAGAATTATGAGTTTCCAGATTTATTATTGATCAGTGAAATCTTTTTGATGCTGGGAATTGGAAGGGGTCTTGAATTTTTTAGATACTAGATAAGCAGGAGTGGGGAAACATACTCCAGCTGGCATGAGCAGAGATGTGGAGCTATGTGCATTTTTTAGGAATGGTAAAATTGGTTTGCTTGCTATAGTGGAAGAAAGAACTAAAATAAATAATATTTTGGCTAAATAGGTCAGTCTATATTACACAGAGCTATGAATATCACAGAAAGGATTTTTGGAAAGTTTAGCTGCCTCAGTGTTGATGTTATGTCATAAGGACAGTGTTATGAATACTGTAATATTATAAAGTAATTAAATTCCTGAATTATCTAGTTTTTCAATGAAATAGAGCATCTTCAAGTGGGAGAATTTATCTCTGTGTATACTTCATGCTCTTGCATCTTCATGTACTTTCTCTGGGGAGAAGAGGGACGTGATGACAACTAGCTTGCGGGAGTTGGCAAATCTGTAGCTGTGGATATGTTCTATATAGGGCTGGTACTCTACCAGTTTATAAGAGGTTGGCTATATTGGCTTTTCCCACCAGCCTCCTTCCTTTTTTGTCAGTGTCTGTGTTTGTCAGATATTTTTTTTTAATAATCCTAATTTTATGCCTTGAGGTGAACAAATTCACAGATGTTAGTCACTGAAATAAAAATGAAATAAAAATATTAGTACATACAACAGTGTGGTAGTGATTGTCAGTTATTGCAGACTTTACTAATCCATTTAATTTTTTTCACTTTGTTGGTAAATAAGTATATACATGAGACTGCTTTTTGTGTGAATGACCTTCACATGTGTCATAGTAAAAAAAAAAAAGAGTTGGAAACTACTGCTAGAGATAACTGTGAAGGAAAACTCCTTGGGAGAAAATGACCATTGCACCTATCTCAGTTCTCCTCACTTTAACTCTCCTTTTAAGTTCTCTTTTACTTTTTTTTTTTTTCCCCTGGTGTTACCTTCAGCTCCGTTACATTCAGCTCTGGATTTTTTGGTGACAAGCAGATGCCCTTTGCCTTACTTCAACTACGTCAAAGATAGACTTAGAAGAGTACCTTTTACTACTATAAGAAGAAAGAGAAAGTAAAAAGTATAGTGAGTGGAGTATAAAGTCTTTTTTTTTTTTTGAAAAAACAGAGAAAGAAAAAGAAAAGAAAGAAAGAGAGAAAGAAAGAAATAAAAGAATGAAAGAGAGAAAGAAAGAGGAAGAGAAAGAGGGAGAGAGAACGGGAGTCTTGCTTTATTGCCCAGGCTAGAATGCAGTCTAAAAATGGGTATTGAAAACCTCTTTTATGCCAATAATTGTGCTTAACAATGGAGACAGGAAGGAATAGGGGAGGAAAATAACAAACAAGAAGCCAACCAATATTTCATTTAAACCTGTGAAATGCTATACAATTACTGAGGAGTGATTTACTTCCAATTATGTAGTCACTTTTAGAGTAGGTGTGATGTGGTACGGATAAGAATGTATGTTTTGTGGATTTGGGGTCAAGAGTTCTACAAATGTTTATTAAGTTTACTTGTTCCGAGTCCGAGTTCAAGTCCTGGATATCCTTGTTAATTTTCTGTCTCGTGTGAGTGGAGTATAAAGTTTTAAACTAACGTGGTGTGTAGGACAGACTGTATAGGTGGACTAGTTCGAGTAGACATAGTGATACTAGGATTGAATGAACTAAGAGTATGACAGTGATAATAGAAAGGAACAGATGAGTGAAAAAAATGAAAGTTATTTCTTAGAGGTAAAGGGAGAGAAAAATCAATTTTAACTTTCACCTCTCCTGAAAAGTTGGCCTAATATGGCATGATGATTTGTATGAAATGTAGGTTACTGAGAGGAGATGTTAATGGGACAGTCAATGGGAAATGCCCATCAGTGGTTTGCAGATGAGAGATCAATACTAAGGCTAGACATATGGTTTGAAAATCATTTGCCTGTAGGTGAAAAGGAAGTGTAATGGTTGCCATGAGAGGAGGACTAAAAGGAAAAATGCTGAGAACTGTGCTGTGGGCAATGCTGGCTGGCCTGGAGGGAAAGAGATGAAAAAGAGGAAGGGAGGAAAGAGAAGGGGTGAGGTCAGAGAAGAAGGTGGGCTCTGAGGAGAAGCAGCACAGAAGACAGGGAAAGAGCATTTCAGAACAGATTATTATGGTCTGTCTTGACAAATTGAACCAACTGAGTTTATGATTATGATAAGGCTATTTTTTTTAAATGAAAGTGATTGAATTAGAGCTTAGATTACAGTGATGGGGCAAGAATAGAAAAAAGTGATGAGCAGTTACACAAAGGAAAGTGAACTCGGCTAACTGCATTAGGGAGTAGTAGGATGAGAAAATGAAGCCTGCAGAGGGGCTAGTAAGTTTTTAGAGGGGAGGGAGAAGAACTGCAATAGCTTCCTGGCAGGAGTGTTTTAAGAAGAAAGAATTAGTAGGTTAGTTAGTTAACATTATGAGTGTTGCATTGAGGCCAAGGAGGATGAGGTACACCAAGCACAAGGAGCTTACTTATGGAGCCTTGTGATTTTCTTTTTCTCTGACAGGAAGCTTAGTTCCAAAATCACCCAGTTTCTTCCAATTTTAATATAAGACTCAGTGTGTCCCAAAGATAAGTAGGCTGATTTTCTTTATCATATGGCCCCGGTGTCAATTCTTTTCCCCTATTCTGCTGTTACTGTTGCTATTGAAAAATTATTGGCTGGTATTCACTCTTTTCTCTCTGTTTCTTGGTCGGCTATTTATGGTTTGCACCATTCTCTCAGTCTTGGCTTACTCACATGCCAAGTGACACTGAATATTTTGAAATTTCTTTCTGAGCGCTGACAGAATGCTTTCTCAATAAGCATAAACGTACTTATAATGTAGACTTGTTATTATATTCCAAAAAGCCTACAAAATGATAGAAAAAATAGGATCAACAAATAGTCTACAGAGTTTTGCACATAAATTCAGTAGTTGACAAAGTACTCTCATAAAGACATAGTGAAGGAATTATACTGATGATTCGAAAGTGTCTTGGTTTAAATGAAAAAGATTATTTTTGAATAAGGTTCTAGATTAGTATTGTGCAGAATGGAAAGGAAAGAAGGTCTATATTGCGGCAAAAAAGGACTGTAAATATGTAGTAAAACCAGGGAAGTGTTCTTTCCCTTCTGAATTGTTGGTTGCAGGAATTTGTGGAATTGAGCAATTTAGGTTTAGGTACATTTCAAGGTAAAGTAGTATTCTTTGGGTGGAAGTTCAATAGTTAATGCAGGACAGTAGGAAGCTATGCCTAATTATTTGTTTATTTCTTTTTATTGATCCTCTAAATCAAACTTTCAGTATATGAAGAACTTCTGAGAATCTGTAAGGTCTTTGAAGTCTGAGCCACTCTCCTACAAAGTACTTCAATGACTGAACAATTTGCTACTTCACAGCAGTTAATCACTGGGTTGTCTTCCACAGAAGACAAATATATTTCATTCTCCTTTGCCTGCTTTGCCTGTTGAGAATTGAATATTCATTTTCAAAATGACTCAGTTTTTAAACCTTCATATAGCAAATAGTGAATGGCTTTCACAGTTGTCATCTGTTGAAATGTGTTTTAATGCTAAATGACCTTTTTTATTTATCTTATTTTGCTTTGTTTCTGCAATGGGGGAGGATAAGAAAGCTTGGTTTTTCAAATTCAAGCAGAAAAGAGCTGCTTTCAGATTTTGTGCTTTAAAACTATTAGAAAATCCAGGTGAAAATAAGGATATGAATGCCATCAAATTGTACATTTTTTTTTCTTCCTCTCTCAAGCTAGGTTTATTTAAAAGAAAAATTAGATAGTATTGATCAGTTTCTTTGGGATGTCAGAAATAAATTTTTTTTTATTAAATTGACAGTGTTTTTGTAGTAAACTTTAAGAAACAGAATTGCATAGTTATTGCTTAGCATCCAACATGGACCTTTTCAGAATACCCTCTACCCTTGGAATTTTAGCCTTTGTCAGCCCCAAATTTGGCTTGCTTTTTTGAGAAATAAAAATAATACTGTCTGACTGTTTTAAAGTTGTTAAATCTGGAATCTTAGAATCCTTTAAATGTTAAAAAGAGCAGATAAGTACATGATTTTCTGTTCAAAAGCAATGAAATCTATTTCCTCTGTTTTTGTCCTCCACCGAGGTATTTGCTTAGCCAGCATTCTCAACAAGAGTAAGTATGAAGAAGAGAAGGATTGGGAGTTGAAGCTGAAATATTCTTTATTTCTTAATACAAGGATCATTAGTTTTGTTATTACTGTTGCTAGTTTTGGGAACACTATAGAAAATTCCTCTCAGTGCCACTTGATCATATGCAAATTGTTACCCAGGGCCAAACATGAGCATGGTCTCCCCAGATCTTATTTTGTTTTTATTGTTATGCCCCCAGGCTTTAGCAAAGTGAATATGTTAGGAGGTTTTCTTGTTTTAAAAGTTGTTTATGTTCATCTCAGCCTTTTGGCGTTTTGGAAACTGTTTTCATGTACCAACCTACACTTCGTTTACCTGTGTGTTGTTTAAGGTACCCTAACTATGGATGATCATTGGAAAGATGCATGATTTTTTTTTTTCCTATTTTCATCCAAGGTATATTTCCTGTAATACAGGCAGTTTATGTAATCAAGGTAGTCTGTCATAAATTATGTGTCTATGGAGGAAGAATGTTTAGACTCAGATGAGTAGAGACAAAAGGTAAGAATTTGGTAGCTTTTTTATTAGGATGGTGAAGATATTTAATTTTTTATAGTAATTTTCAGCTGTTACCTATGAACAGACGAAGGCTTTTTAAACATCAATTTATGATAGTATTTCTAAAGGATTATCACAAAATTTCATGAACATCTACCATGTATCTCAGATACCATGCTGGTCTCTACTCTCCAGAGGTTACTATTTAGCCACAGAGGGAATAAAGGCAGAATATCCATGTTATAAGACTAATAATAAAGGGTGGTGTATGGTATTAACAAATATTGTAGACCTGTGGTCTTTAAGTATGATCCCTGGACCAGTAGCATCAGCATCACCTGGTAATTTCTTAGAAAAAGAAATTCTTAGATCTTAACCAGACCTACTGAACCATAAACTTCAGGGATAGGGCTCAGCAGACTGTGTTTTCACAAGTCTTCCAAGTGATTCTGATAGTTTAGACAGTGTCTATTTTAGACAATACCACTGGATCAAAAGGGGAAAAGCCACTAGTTTGCTTGGGAGGATATAGGATGTAGGGAAGTAGGCATATCTAATTTTGGAATTCATATTTATGGAAGCAGTGGTGAGAACATATTGACAGGAAGTTCATGCCTAGAAGCATAATAGTAGCAGACTGTGTCTTTTTTACTGGCTTACTAATCAAAGTAGTATTTCTTCCAATTTGTTTTCATTTTTACCAAAGAGTACTGAAGTTTTAACTCTTTAGCCATTATGAAATTTTTTTAAATTTTTGGTGATAACTTGGATTTCTGAATCGGTATATAACATATTACAAATGGATTATACATTGGTGTGCAAATGGTTTTCAAAAATTTGAAGTATATGAGCTAAATGGAATTATGCAAATAATTTACCTTTGACATCTGTGACTGAAACAGTGGTTCTACATGTGGTTTGGGCTTATATGTGTTATGTAGTTGTTAAAGCATTGGGTCTTTATTTCAGGAGTTATTTTTGTTTCCCATATTTACTGCTTGAAATCTGTCTTTTTAAGAATTCTCCTAAGTGATTAAATGACTTTATTAAAGTTGTGAATGCTATTCACCATTTATTCTAAAAACAGAAATTACCATTGTTTGTTTGTTTTTATGATTTTCTTGGATTGAGATTGGAGAAAATGGAAATGTTACAAAATATATAATGTTTTCTAAACTTTTACCAAAATAAATTTGAAATAAAATAAATGTAGGCATTGGATGACTATTTCATAAGAGTCATGATTCACTTATATAGAAAAAGATAGTTTTAGAAAAACGTGGAAATGTGCTGGTGAACTTGTAGACTTAAGAGGAATGTGACTAAGTCTTTGTGCAGTGTCCTGATGAGTAACCTGCCCATCTTGTGATCCTTGGATGCTGGAAGAGTCCACTGGATCTGACTGCAATGCCTCTAGCAGTGCATGGTTGCCCAGTAAGAGAAAGATACTCTACTTTGACAAGGGCTCCTGCATTTAACAACCAAAATTGTTACAGCTGGCAAGCAGTAGGTTATGTGGCTTAGTCTGCTGGCAAGTAGCAAGTTTCTTCTCTGAAATTCTAAAGTGGTTTCTACTTCCAATATTTAAGAAGATGAAAAAGCATAATTTCTTAAATGAAATGTTAATATTTTCTGCATTTGCTGGTCTATTTAAGTTTTGAATTTCTGGAATCAGCATGTGGTAAAGGATGTGTAAGATTATAAAGGCAGCTTTTGAGATTTAAGAATATGGGTTTTGGCATTTAGAAACTTGATATATGTATACTAATAACCATTTCTTTTAATTCCAGGAAATCTTACTGATGAGGGACAGCAGTATTGTTGTAGATTAGTAGAAATGGATTCAAAAAGTGGTCCAGGCCTCATTGGCTTAGGCATTAAAGCATTACAAGACAAAAAGTATGAAGATGCTGTTAGGAACCTAACAGAAGGTAAATGTACAGTGTATGGCACGTAACATGAAGTATAATTATTATTCAGTCAGTAGGCATTTATCTTTGAGCTTTCCTTTAAGGAATGTATATCTAAGGTGGAAGGGAAAAAAATGTACCTGCATACCTTGGACTCTGCCTGGATTTGAATTCTGACTCTGCTAATCACTAATTTTAAGACCTCAGAAAAGTTAATTAAACTTTCTGTGTGTCAGTGTTTTAATTTGTAAAATAGGGATATCTATATGTTTAGATAAATAAATAGAAAGATAGACAGATATGTAGATGTATGTGCCTTAGGAACCTAGGCTTTAACTTAATCTTATTAGGTATGATGTTTCTGGAAGAACCTACATTCAAATTGTAGATCTGAATGGCAAATACAAGCCAGGTAGGTGGATGAAGGGAGTAAGAGGAACATTTTAGGCAGAGATGAATCTGTGAAATAGCCTGAGATAAAAGGAAAACTGTTCTTCAGAGAATTGCAGGTTGACAGGGGTTTGAGAATGAAATGTGGGTACAAGGGGGACAAGAAGTGAGATTGTAGGGCGACAAGAAGTGAGATTGTAGAGGGACCTAGCAAAACCTTGGTAAGGAGTTTGCACATTATCCTAACAACAGTGGGCAATCAGTAAAAGATTTTTAGCAGGGAATTTTATAATCTGATTTGTATTTTTAGAAATATTCTGGCTACAGTGTAGAGAATGCATTGGGGTGGATGCCAGGCACTTGGAGTGATTTGGGATAAAGGTGGTGGAGGTCTGAACTGAAGTGGTATTGGTAGAGGTGGAGAAAAATGTATGGAGGGGAATTAATTGGGACAGAGAATCAGTGTGACTTTGTAGCTAATATGAGAGATGAAGAGGGGAGGAATCTGATTTGGAGAGTAGGCGGTGGTGCCGTTCATCTATGTAGTCTCAGAATGTGATTGTCTTTATCCTTTTAGGATTAAAGGAAAGCCCTCTCTGCACAACTGGATGGTTTCATCTGGCAGAAGCCCAAGTCAAAATACATAGACCTAAAGAAGCTATTCTTTCATGCAGTCAAGGTATTTTTGATACTTTTTGGGTTGACATATAACCTAATTTGTTTTTATTTTAAAGGACAAAGATAGTGATTTTAAAAACCAAAATGCTATATTTTGTATTTTAAAATGCTAATTTTAATTTCACTGAGGTTAAATAAAAGTCTGCATGCATGTCTACTAATGTATTTGTTTTTAAACTGACAATGAATATTTAGCAAAATTTTCCTGCATTTGAAATATTGACATAGTCAGTTTAGGCTTGGGTCCTCTGCCTTTGTAATAAGGAAGTTTCTGGTGTGTCCAAGACACATGTGTTCTTAATTTCCCTGATACAAAGAGGGGAAACCTTAGGCATCTTAGAGCATATCTGAATGTGACAGGGTGAGGGGTGGGGATAGGAAATCATGAAAGTGGTTTGCTGTTTCTGACCCACCTGACAGCTGGCCCTCTGTGACTGAGAAATAGTTCACCTTGGTCCATTCTAATTCAGCTTCTTTCTCCTTCCGGTATTCTTAATTTCTTGTATTTGTTATAGGTGCTTTGGTTATGGGCTAACCTTTATTGTTTAGCAGATATAGATAGCCATTGGCGTTTTTTTAAGGCTGTTCAGTTTCATTATATATTGTGTGAAGTTAGAGGTTTTAAATTCAGATGTGTTCTGTTTTAAATTCAGGTCTTTCCATAAGGAATTCAGGGAAGAATTTAATTTAGCTTTGAGTTATTCTTGATGTATATTGTTTTGAAAATTTATGCTTATTGTATCTGCAATTTATTATATGTCATCCTTTAAAAAGGAAAAAAAAAACTGAAGTGATATGCCTGTCTTCATTTGGATACCTTTAATTTTATCAGCTCTGAAGGTCATAGATAATCATGGTGCGTCTGGTGGCAGTCTTTACCAGAGGAATCTTTGTCTTCGTTTGAAAGCAGAGGCTTTGATTAAACTTTCAGATTATGAATCTTCAGAGGAAGCAATTTGTACTCTCGATCAGGTAGTCTTACCAAGTTTTCTTCAACTTTGGTTAGTTTCCAATAACCAGGCAACAACCCTTCTCTGCCTACCACAAATATTTACTTATACAGATTTTGAGTTAGAGGTATGAATTCACCACATCTGCACTTTTATAAGTCACTCATATATTTGGGAACTTCTAATTTTATTTGTTTGCCTTTTGATTAAGGACTTACAGTACTCATGATATAAGACTGTTTCTTTCTTTAGTTCTAGAATTTATTCTCCTTTCTTCCTTTTGCCCTCTTAGGTTATTACTACTTGATTATTATTAATTTGAGATTCTAAATTTTTTCCTCTAGGAGATGTTCTGCAGATTTGACAAGAATAATTAAGAACACTATTAGCTTGATGGTAGAGAATGTTGTTTATTTGCTTCTTTCAAAAAAAGATTGATATTTCATAATGAAATCAATTTCTTTATTTTTGGGGTTCAAGCAATTTGAAATTCCATACTGAAAAAAAAAACATAACTGTTAAATTATGAATTTTAACATTGTGCCCTAAAGATTTTTGTCAGTTAAAGACTACTACTGGTCTAAAATTAAAATTGAGTTTTTCAAATAAGTTTAGTTTTGTATATTTCAAAGGGCTTTGTATATAATAATGTTTTTTTAAATCAGAACCATTGTCAGCATCCTTCAAGAATTAATATTTTCTTGTTTTCCTTTTGCCATCCTGCCAGTCATTTGTTTTGTGTGAATGTTTTATAAAGGTTTTTCAAATAATGTTTTCACAAAAAAACAAAATGAAAAGTTTTTGGACTCTGCTACTTTATCAGAGTCCAGGTCTGAGATAGAAAATGTACAAGATGAGCTGAGAACACCTTGTCATGCTAGAAAGCAAGAAACTATAAAAGGGCTCCGACTGCAAAAGGGCTCAAGAGCTAGCATGAAGAGATTCTTACTAGCTAAAGAGCGTACTAGCTGATGTGCTATGTTGAAATACATCGGATTGTCAAATCTGTTAAAGCTATGTGTTCATGATGAAACAGAAAACAAAAAATCATCAATTGTCCTCAAGAAAACAAATCTTTGGGAGGAGTGCCAAGAACCCAACTGTGAAGAATAAAGGCACTTATCCTGCCTTTTCTGTCTGAATTACTCCTCGGGATAGTGAAATCATGAGGGTAGGAGAAATTTGTCTTTGTTGAAGTATTCCATTTAATAAGAGAAGATGACAGAAAATTGCCATTTTGGAATCCCCAATGAATTAATAGATCTAGGCATCAAAGGTTAATGGTTGCTACCATCACAAAAAGAAAAACAAATCAGGCCAGGCACAGTGGCTCAAACCTCTAATCCCAACACTTTGGGAGGCCGAGGCGGGTGGATCAATTGAGGTCTGGAGTTTGAGACCAGCCTGGTCAATATGGTGAAGCCCCATTCTCTACTAAAAATGTAAAACATTAGTCAGGACTGGTGGTGCACACCTTTAATCCCAGCCACTTGGGAGGCTGAGGCAAGAGAATCGCTTGAAGCCAGGAAGCAGAGGTTGCAGTGAATCAAGATCATGCCATTGCACTCTAGCCTGGGTGTTGAAGCGAGATTCTATCTCAAAACAAAAGACAGTCAGACCCAAACCAAGTGCAAGTATACCTGAAGTATCCTTGGGAATCTTCAAACCTGAATCAGATCAAGCTTCTAAACCTAACTACTAATATACTGGAAATACAGGGAACCGAGGAACATATTAAACACCTTGAGAATACATTTTGCAAAATCCAGACTCTGAGAAACTGTGACAAATAGACCATATTTTTCAACAGTTAAATTTTAAGGAAGAAAAAAAAGAGAAGGAGGGGGATCTTATTAAAAGAGACTTAAGGCATATTAGTCAGTGGAAATGTATATATCTTATTTGGATTTTGATTTTAAAAATTGTTCAGATATTTTATAAGACAACTGGGAAACTTGATAATGTTAAGAATGTATTGTTGGTTTTGTTTAGGTATGATAATGGTAATGTGGTTATGTAATTTAGAAATGAGCTTTTAGATATAGATACTGAATATTACAGATAAAAAGTTAAAATATCTGGGATTTGTGTCAAAATAATCTGAACAGGAATGTGGTAAAATTGGTGGAGGTATAGATTAAAAAATGATTCCCTGTGAGTGTGATTTTTGTAGCTGGATGATGGGCACATGTGGGTTTATTATACTAGTTTCTGTAATTTTTTTATGTATATGAGATTTTCCCTAATAAAAATGTCAGTGAAGATGGATTAATAGTGATAGAAATCAAGACCTCTGTTTCTTTATTCTATTAGCACCCTGCTTTTCTGTGTTCATTTTTTAATTAAAGCAAACATTGCTGTGGTTGTGTTGAAGGAGGTTTATAGCAGTTCGTTTCAATTGTTTTCTAGGTTTCCGATGCAGATAATATCCCAGGACTTTTGGTTCTCAAAAGCTTAGCCTATCGGAACAAAGGTTCATTAGATGAAGCTGCAAAGGTTGGCTTTTTTATTCAAAGTGAGCATTTTTTTGAGTTAAAAGTCATTTTTGTTTGGGTATAGAATTGACAGGTGTCTGTTTTATAGATTATGGAAGACCTTCTTTCTTCTTACCCTGACCTAGCTGAAGTTCATGCCCTTGAGGCTTTGATTCATTTCACCAAAAAGGACTATCTACAAGCAGAAAAATGGTAAGGATATATAGATTGGTCGTAGAACCATTAACATCTTAGTTTTTTTATATTTCTCAAAAATTCAAAATGAGTAGGCTTGATTTTGTATGACTTTGATCTTTGTGGGCTTTAAGTTTTAGTATTTTTAAGAAATGTTTAGCATGTAGTACAGTAGCTGTAAAAAATTATATAATGGATTTCAAACCTAATTAGCTGTTCTTGACCATGTGTGGTGGCTCACACCTGTAATCCCAGCACTTTGAGAGGCCAAGGCAGGCGATTACATGAGCCCAGGAGTTCAAGACCCGCCTGGGCAACATGATGAAACCCCGTCTCTACTAAAAATACAAAACTTAGCTGGGTGTGGTGGCACATACCTGTAGTTCCAGCTGTTGAGGAGGCTGAGGCCTGAGAATTGCTTGAACCTGGGAGATAGAGGTTGCAGTGAGTCAGGATTGTTCCACTGTACTCCAGCCTGGTTGACAGAGTGAGACTCGGACTAAAAAAAAAAAATCTAATTAGCTGATTATATTAATAACATTACATCACTAAGCAGATGTAATGTTCAGTGTAGTCTGAACACTTAGCACATGGTAGTACTAAAAGGCCACGGTGCTTTTTAAAGCTCCTCTTCTTCGAAAACAAATGACAGTTTTCCTTGTGATAACATAAATCCTGAAGTGATGATTTGTTTCTAATTTGGCACCTCTGAATCACTCAAACTCTGATTGTTCCAACTAGGAGTCTCCTATAGAGAGAGAGAGAGAGAGAGAGAGAGAGAGAGAGAGACTGTGTGTGTGTGTGTATTTATTTGTGTGTGTGTGTGTGTATTTATTTATTTTACTATTTCTTTTTACTACCCTTTGATGACTTAGTTTTCAGAGAGCTCTTGAGAAAGATACTGAAGTTGCGGAATATCATTACCAACTGGGATTAACATATTGGTTCATGGGCGAAGAGACAAGAAAAGATAAAACAAAGGCTCTTACCCACTTTCTGAAGGTAAAGTAAGTGCTACAATTCAATTCTTAGTTGAAATGGCATTACAAAATTATAAATAATAATCATGTAAGTTTGTCACCTACAGTTACTCTTTACTGACCTGTTTTTGGTGCTTTATCTTTCCTATATAAGGTTTTATGATGGTGTTACATGGGTTTTCAAGGAAAAAATTAAAATACAAAACGTTAAAGTTACTTATTAAAAAGCATGTGTTGTAGAAAATGAGACATAATTATCTCTGATAGACAACACTTTTTAGGTAATTTCCACTGTAGTTTTATGATCATATAAGGTAGATGTTTAAAGTCCTGTTTTTTTAGATCTTTGACATCTGTAATTCCAACATTCTTATCTTGACTCATCAGAGCAGATTAATTCAATAACAGCTTTAATTTTACATTTCCTTTACCAAAAAAGAAAATTTTTTATACTTCCATTTACTTTCTATAAGCAATGAGGGACAGCTTTCCTGTTTTAAATCTTACATTAAAGGGTTTTTTGGCCTATTTTTGTATGTTTAATGAAGTTATTTCTTTTTTCTTTAATATGTGTATCTTCTGTATTTTTTAAGATATTAAATGAACTTTTGATGTTCTGGTTTGTCAATATTTATTTCAAAGGCTGCAAGACTGGATACATATATGGGCAAAGTTTTCTGCTATTTAGGTCATTATTACAGAGATGTAGTGGGAGATAAAAACAGAGCTCGTGGATGTTATAGGAAAGCCTTTGAATTAGATGACACTGATGCTGAATCTGGAGCTGCAGCGGTTGACCTAAGTGTGGAGCTTGAAGATATGGTATGTCTAATAACCACGTTTGCCTTTTTGTTTTTTTATCCTGAGTATATAAATGAAAATATTTTTATATATGTATACTTGAAAGTTATTAGTTTTTTTTTTCTGTAGGTGCAATAGAAATATTTTTACATCTATAAGTAAAGTTTTTTTCTATTGGCAGATATTAAATTACTAACCACTTATTGTTGAAACTGTAGTTTAGTGTCTACCAGTGTAAGTTAAAAAAATCAGAAGTGAGAAATGAAAATATGTTTGTGTACTTTACATGAGTGTTCTGTCTTTTTATAATATTCAATGTATCTAATATTAGTATTTTCTTATTAGGAAACTGCTTTAGCTATCCTAACAACAGTAACTCAAAAGGCAAGTGCTGGAACGGCAAAATGGGCCTGGCTTAGGCGAGGACTGTACTATTTGAAAGCTGGTCAGCATTCTCAAGCAGTGGCTGAGTAAGGCACCTTATTGTATTTAAACAATGTTAGACAAGCATAATCATTCCTTAAATTAAGCATTATTTATACGCCAAATGAACTTTACAAATTGTCTCTTACAGGTTGTATTTTGAGAGAAGAAATAACAAAATTACTCTATGATCAATTGGTGTTTATTGTCTGCAGGGCAGTGGAATTGCAGAGATGGATTAAACAATGTGCTGTTTTTGAGGAGATAACCAGTTTAGTGAATTGAAGTCTTCATAAATATCTATAGTAGATTCTCAATAGAAATTTTAGTGATGAAAAGCTGAGGCACATATCTTTGTATTCTGCTGACATACATTGTTTTTGGCTAGGGAGACATTTGACAGCTTGAAGGGCATTTGGAGCAGCTCATATATGATCAATTTGAGTCATTTGATTTGAACAGTACTTAAATGTAAATATATATTTGAATCAAGATAAAGTTGTTTCTGGTTTATGTTAGTATCTAGAGTACAGGCATTTTCACGGAAATGGAATTTGATCACATATTTAAAGCATGCCTATTTCTATATTTTAACTATGGTATTTCTGTTTGGTAATAGGATTGCAGGTGGGGGATTATGGACTGATGAGGCAAACTGAGATGGTCACCTGTCCTGGTAGTATAGAAAACTCGAGTTCTTTGAGATAATCAAGGAAAAGAAATTTTGTTCAGCACTTTTTCAAAAAAAAAAGGATTTTATTCTTTTTTATTCTGAAATTAAAATAACATTTCTTAGTATTAAAAAAATTAATCACAAAAGGAACAGATTTACCTGCTTTAAATATCACTTTTATAAGTAGAAGAAGCCACGGATATGTATGATTCAGTTGAATTATTTATTTTATTTTTTTCAGATTTGGAGATAGTTCTATAACTTTTAGTTCTCTTACCGTTTTTTAAATTTTAGTTTACAGGCAGCATTAAGAGCAGACCCGAAGGACTTCAATTGTTGGGAATCATTAGGAGAGGCATACTTAAGCAGAGGAGGCTACACAACAGCCTTGAAATCCTTCACGAAAGCCAGTGAGCTGAACCCAGAATCGACATACAGTGTGTTTAAGGTTGCAGCAATACAGCAAATCCTAGGCAAATATAAGGAGGCTGTAGCTCAGTACCAGGTGATCATTAAAAAGACAGAAGATTATGTCCCTGCTTTAAAAGGTAATTTCTTTTTATTATCTCCTTTGACTTTTATGATACTTAAGCATAAAATCCTTGAGTAGATTTCTTACCTAAATATATTGAATAACTTGAAAAGGACTTCTTTAGTCAACATCAAGCATCTGGTATGAACCTCTTACAGTATAGCTTATATAGATTTGAATATAAAAAGATCAAGTCTTGTTTCATAAATTAACAAAAAGTAATATGATAGAGATTTAACTTTTAGACAAATAGTATAACTATTAGATCTAAAAAACTACCTCTAAAATGTGTTTCCCTACTCTTACGTTTTTAATTCATTATCCCCAAATATCTTAATCGCTATAATTACTCTGTAAGTTATACAAGCTTATTAAATTATTTTTTTTAATTTTAGAGACAACTTGCATTGTTTTGTAGTTATCTAAGTTAGTTTTGGTAATATAAAATACCACCATGCATGTATAATCTACATTTGTAATGATTATATTTGACCTTTTAAAAAAACCTGAAGCTCATTATGTATGCTTTCTCTCCTCCATTTCCTTCTTCTTTCTGCTTTTTAAAAAAACTTTACAAATTGTGTCATCCCTGCTTAGTAGCCATGCTAATCTTTTTATCATTCTAGTTTTGGTGTATGTGCTGCTGAAGTGAGCACATAGACAGCATAAATAGCATATTGTAAATTACATATAACTTAATGCTTGAAACTTTTTTTTTTAATTTTGTAAAACTCTTTCCTCAAGAGAAGGAGAACTCACATTTATGAAATCTTTACTAGACGCTTTAAGAAATCACTATTTCATTTAATTCTTATAGTTTGCTATACAGATTGTAATATAAAAAGATCATACCTTGTTTCACAATGGTTAATAAGTAGTAATACGATGGAGAGCAACATGTAGATATCTCTATTTTTGTAGCCAAGGTTTTAGGAGGTGAGTAACTTGCCCAAAGCTAAGGAAATTCTTGGGTTCCATAGATAACTTTTTCAGAACTTCTACTGCGTGTTTACTCCAATAGAACTCTTCCATTTGAATTTCTTATTAAATTTAAATGAATGTAGGATCATGCTTTAAGACAATTTTATAACATGCCATTAAGTTTTATTTTCTGGAAAGTGCTTTAAAATAACACCAATAAATATATTTGAAATTCATTTTAAGTGTTTTATATGTTTTAATAACAGTGACAAACTTACCTGATTTTAGGTTTGGGTGAATGCCATCTTCTGATGGCAAAAGCAGCTCTAGTTGATTATCTTGATGGAAAAGCCGTAGACTACATAGAAAAAGCACTGGAATATTTTACTTGGTTAGTATTATTCTTATTATTTATTGTGTTGATTTTTGTAATACTATAATGAAGCCAAATTTAGAAGATTATTTTATGTATTCTGCTAGATATAGCAGTTACGCAGAATGTCAAACATAAAGAATAACAGACAAGCCAATTAATTCTAGGATATACATGTTGTATTAATTTTACCCTTGGGGAAACAGATATAATTTCTTCTGCACTTAATAGTGGCTGGCTGGATGCATAGGAAAGAAGAGGAACGAAGGAGCAGTCGGCTAGTGGAACAGCAGTTCTGACACCATGTGTTAGTGTTCTCTTTCAGTAGGCCTGGAAATAAATATCTTTAATTGGAACCAATAGGGAAATAGGGCTTCAGGTGGTCAATATGCTTTACATTCAGTGGTGAGACCCAATAGTAGGATTATTAGTAGGTCTTGAAGGTAAGGGGAAATGACAATCTGATTGCTCCTGAAGAGTAACTGTGTAGGAAAAAAGTGATGTGTCTAATAACAGGAAAGGAATCAGAAAATTTTGAGTAGTTCTATGAAATGTACATTTTATAGAACTGTAAATTCATTGGTTAGGTCAGAAAAAGTGTTATCTGTGGTAGATAACTTCCAAACGTCCACAAGTTAGATGTACATTTGAATTTTTTTGTAACTCTTAAACATCTTTCTTTTACTTCCCCTTTTTTCCTGCTTCGTTTCTCCTCTGTTTTCTAATTATTGGTTGCTCCAGAATTGCTTTTCATATAAACCAAATATGAAATGAAAACTTAACTTTTTTGTTTGTTTGCTTTTTCCCTACATTCCTTGTGAATACAGCCTAACCCTTTTTTATCTCACTGAATTTTATTGCTGCTTTTCAAGTCTCACATAATGTAATTCTTTCTAAAGAGAAAGTTACTGTGTAGAGGGTATGCTTTATTTGAACTGGTATTTAAGAGTAAACACGAACCTTTGGGTGACAGTACCTTAGTCATAAATACTGCCTTTCTGAGCCTAGGAATATTATTCTGGATAACATGTAACATAACCCATTAGAAGGTGGCATATAAAACAATTATAATCTCCAAATGTATATTTACTTCTAGACTTAAAAGGAGTTAATGCTATCTCAATTATTGTATTAGGGTGATATAAGTTAGTTAACTTTATAGATTTTTTTGTTTGAACTTAAAAGTAAATAAGAATTTAGGCTGTTAAAAATCACCTCTGTTTCACTTTTTTCCCTCTCTTTTCTCATTTTTTGTTGTCAATTTTAGAAAATTTGCAAAGATATTTAGACAAAGGAACTCCAAATAGTATTGCCCTTCCTTCTTATTCTCAGTGGGCTTTTAGTCATGACCACAATAATTAATATTATTTTTAAGGAAGACATTGGAAAATGATTTTTGGCTGGACTCCATGAGTAGAAAAGACTATGAAAAATGTTCCATCTGCTTATCCATCTGCCAGTAACATAGCAGCTTGTGATAGCTGATTATTGAGACTTGGCTTAAATGAAATTGCCATGTTTTATTTATAAGATCTCAAGAAGAGAAAAATGAAGAGAAATATATAGCTGAAGTTTTTCTCATTCTAAAAGGAATTGCCCTCTGTCACCATAATTAATATTTCTCTTTGCTTTTTGAACTTGTTCATTCAGTCTGCTCTTGTTTCTGTAAATGTGGTTCTTCAGATTTTCATGTTTAGATTTTTGTTGTTTTTGGTCTCAGGGAATAAATATTCAACATCGCCAATCATCAGGAAAATGCAAATCAAAACCACAGTGAGGTATCATCTCACCCCAGTTAGGATGTCTGTTATCAAAAAGACAAAAAATAAAGGCCGGCGAAGATGTGAAGAAGAGAGAATTCTTATATGGTTTATGGGAATGCAAACTAGTATAGCCACTGTGGAGAACAGTATGGATATTTCTCAAAAAACTGCAAATGGAACTACCATATGATCCAGCAATCCCACTACTGGGAACTTATCCAAAGGAAAGGATATCATTATGTCAAAGAGACATCTGTACTCATGTTTATTGCAGCACTATTCACAATAGTCAAGATATGGAATGAACCTAGATATTCAACAACAGATGAATGGATAAAGAAATTGTGTTATTTATATACAATGAAATACTATTCAGCCATAAAAAAGAATGAAATCCTATCATTTAAGGCAACATGGATAGAACTGAAAGACATTATGTTAAGTGAAATAAGCCAGGAACAGAAAGTTAAGCACCATATGTCCTTACTCAAATGTGGAAGCTGAAAAGAAATTGATATCATAGAAGTAAAAAGTAGAACAGAAGATACTAGATGCTAGAAAGGTTAGGGAGAAGGGAGACATGGGAGATTTTTATTAAAGGACACAAAATTACAGCTAGATAGGAGGAATAAGTTCCAGTGTTCTGTAGCACCATAGGATGCCTGTTGTTAATAATATATAGTTTCAAATATCTGGAAGGAGGATATTGAACTTTCCTAACACAAAGAAATGATAAATGTTTGAGATGATTAATATGCTAATTACCCTGATCTGATCACATTACATTATATAGTATCAAAAATCTCTCTATACCCCATGAATATGTGTAATTATTATGTCAATTAAAAAATAAAATTTATAGAAATCTTTCAGACCCTACCAAATACATTTGGTACATTTTATTTGGGGTGCCTTCATCAGTTTTTTGCTGCCATAACAGAATACCAGACTGGTTAATTTACAAACAATAGAAGTTTATTTGACTTGGTTTTGGAGGCTGGGAAGTCCAGGAGCGTGGTGCTGGCATCTGGTAAGGGTCATCCTATGGCAGAAGGGCAGAATGCAAGAGAAAAAAAATGGGACTGAACCTACTCTTCTATCAGGAGCTCACTCCTGTGACAACTAACCCATTCCATCAGTAACAGTATTAATCCATTTAGGAGGGCAGAGCCCTCTTTACATAATCACCTCTTAAAGGTTCCACATCTCAACATTGTTGCCCTGGAGATTGCGTTCCCAACTCATGAACTTTGTGAGGACATAGTCAAAACTGCACAGCCTGAGGGAAGACCTAAAATAAAAAACCTGAGTTTACAATTGTGAATTGTAAGAGAGTTACAAACTTTATTGCCTTGGTCATTGCTTAAACAAACACAAAAAGCACAGTTTTAACATTGTAATAATAAAATTGGTCCTGGAAAACTTACTTATTTATGTGATTGCTGCTACATCTAATAAAAATGGTGAAGAGTAATAAAAAAGCATCCACAAAATTTCTGGCACTTAAATAATCCCTTCCTCCTCCCCTTTTTCCTTTTCTTCTTTCCTATTGGGGAGGTGATATGATAGAATTCAGTTAGGAGGAAGCTCGTAAAGCATTTGCAGTGCTCAGTGTACAGTTTTTCTGTTTCAAGTAATAATGAGAGATAAACTCTATGCTTTTTACAAATAATTTATAAGAATCACACTGTTTCTTTTTTTAGTGCTCTACAGCATCGAGCGGATGTGTCCTGCCTCTGGAAGCTAGCTGGGGATGCTTGCACCTGTCTTTATGCTGTCTCACCATCTAAAGTGAATGTTAATGTTTTAAGAGTCCTTCTAGGTCAGAAAGAAGGAAAACAAGTATTAAAGAAAAATGAGCTCCTCCACCTTGGTGGAAGGTAATTTGCAAAGATTGCCAGTTAATGACATTCAAATTGAATTAAGGCATTGTAGCAAAAAAACATAACATTCACTTTTATATTTCCGTAGGTGCTATGGCCGTGCATTAAAACTGATGTCTACATCTAATACGTGGTGTGATCTTGGAATTAATTATTATCGCCAAGCACAGCATCTAGCAGAAACAGGCAGCAATATGAATGATCTTAAGGAGTTGCTGGAGAAATCTTTAAATGTATGGTTTAAATTTTTTACAAACTTTTAAAAACACTAAGTGCTTTTCTCAAAGATGTTTTAGTAGAAGTAAATAGCTTTTTCACATAAAACCACATATATATTGATATACATGCTGCTATTCCAAGAAATAAAAATTAATCTAATTTAACTTCTTTTCAGTGTCTGAAAAAAGCAGTGAGACTCGACAGTAATAATCACTTATACTGGAATGCTCTTGGTGTGGTTGCATGTTACAGTGGTGAGAATTAACACTTCAATACTTTTAGAAGATTGTGTATTTCAAACAAAGTTCAGTTTCATCAAGTTCTGTATTTTTCAGGTATTGGAAATTATGCCCTTGCTCAGCACTGTTTCATCAAATCAATCCAGTCAGAACAAATTGTGAGTATTCTATGTGTCTATGAAAAAGAACTTCATAATTTAGAATTTCTAATTTTCTGAGACTTTCAAGTAGACAAGGGGCCTATTTTAAGAAAAAAAATATATATGTTTTGTAGAATGCTGTTGCATGGACCAACTTGGGAGTGTTATACTTCACAAATGAAAATATTGAGGTAAATATATTGCCTGTCTGTCATATTTAAAACAAAGAATGTTTTCTATATTATTATCTCCTCAACAGCTGAGCTTCTTGGGGGAGAAATGTTTTTGCATGTTGCTATCTAGTCAGTATGCTCTTCAGTATGCTAGTTAATTGATGTTATGCAATTTATGTCAAATAATTAATGTGTAAGATTTATTTTCCTTTTCCTGACCCTCAAGAAACTTCTGGTTTTATGATTATGTTGTTTTTTTCATTTAGAGATTAAAACAATTCTATTCTGAATCAATTCAGCATTGTTTTAATCTGTACACATGTAAGAAGTCCTGTGTAGGGTGTTGGAGGTGGAGTGGATGATTGCAAGGGAGACAGTTAGTACTCTCTAGCAGCTTAAATTTAATCTTTGCTTGGGTGATTTGCATTTTGGCTTTAGCAGGTATTAATCTCTTTAAATAGCAAGTGTAATTTGTCATACTTGAGCAGTTATACATTAGGCAATTAGAACTAAAGTGACTGGGATCATGTTTATAGAACATGTTTGGAATGTTTCCACAAATTTATAGATAATACCATGTCTGAACTGTTTTGTGTTACAGCCAGTATATTGAACCTCCTCCCAAAAAGCTTTTGCACTATTCTCAAGGATACATTAAGTCACTGCAAAAAATTATAAATACATTGAAAGAAAATATTAATTTGGATTTTAAAATATGTGAACATATTTTTTAAAAATTTAAACGAAGCAACGTCATAGTAAGCTATGGATGTGCTTTTATTGTGGCATGGGAGAATTGTTGCCCATAGACTTAAAAATAAGAAAAATAAGACTGTTTCCTGCCATACGTAGATTGTTGAGAAAATAGTATAAAATAGTTATTTTTTGTAGCAGAAAAAAAAGGCATGCAAGTTAATGTGTCCAAGTTACGTATTTTTTAAGTTTCCTGATTGTTTAATGCAGAATTATGTTGTTGATCACTCCTTCTCTAGCAGAAGATGTAATACATGTCTAGGACTTCATTGGTTAAGACTTCATTAGTTGTGAGTTCTTACCCTCCCAGTTAAGCTAAAAGAGAAGGGAATAGGTAGCCTTGTTTAATCACTGCCTTCAAACCTATGGCTAGCTGATGGATGCATGATTGGTTGTTTAAAAGTTCTGCAGACTATAAGGTAGACACCTATATTGCCCTTTTACTGGGGTTCAGAACTCCTAACCTGGGGAGAAATCTGTTGTACCCAGGAGTGTTCTAGAACTAAGTGGCAAAACACTGCTTTAAGTATTGCTAATTATGGTTAAACAGTGAAATTTTGTGTTCATACATATTTATTGTGACAGGTTTGACTTATTCTCTTATTTTATGCTTCTTAAACATAAGCAGTTTAGTAAGTTATAAAATGACTTGTTGTAATATTTTTTGCCTTTTTTTCCTAGCAAGCTCATGAAGCTTTCAAAATGGCCCAATCCCTTGATCCATCTTATTTAATGTGCTGGATTGGACAAGTAAGATATATAACATATAGTTACTATAGTTACTAATAAGCCTGTTGATATAAATGACTAATATGTATAACAATGATAATAATGGTAATGGACAGCATTTGAAGTCTTACTTTGTGCCGGTCACTGTGCTTAGCTCTTTGTAGACACGATTTCAGTTAATCTATCATCAATTCTTTGAGGTATGGTTAATGTTATACTCTCTTTATAGTTGTGGAAATAGAAACTCAGAGATCCTAAGTGTGGTTCCTGAGGCCACACAGCTTGTAAGGATTTAACTCTGATTTGTGGGCCTTTGAACACTTACCAATCTGACATTCCTGTGCTTAAAAAGTAAACCTATTGTTTAACTCACATGTACAGAAAATGCACATTTACAAAGATCATTTTGAATATTATGCTTCTGTAAAATCTCCGTATTTGATTTGTCACTTGTTTATGAGTATTCACTCCTCCCCCAAATTTTGATTTTTGTACTGCCAAATAGTAATCAGGATACTTGGTTACTAGTTGCTTTGGTTCAGAGCGTAGGAGAATCACCTATATCAGAAAATTTTTAATTAGAATTTAGAGATATTTTATTGTACTTTTGAGAGGGTCTAATTCTAGTTAATTGATGAAGCAAGTAGAGGTAGAAAGGCAAACTCCTGTTCCCATTCACTGTGGTAGCATCTGGGAGTAGTGGCATTACTATGCTAACCTCTATGTCAGCATTGAACCCAGGGAGCCCAAGAACTTGCGTTCTTACTGCTCCCAAGTGATGATTATGAGGCTGGTCCAAGGGACCTCACTTTGAGTAGTACTACTCTAGGTCAGTAGATCTTAGATGATTATCAGAATCACTTTTTAATTTTTATTTTAAAGGTATTTTTGGTTTTAAAAATAATTTAACAGGTAACTGGTAGATTTAGTTAAAATAGTAACAATAGAAGTAAAAACTTAAGTTTACTTTGCTATTAAGCACAGCTAGTAAACCTTTGGTTCTTCTAAACAGTTTCATTTATTATTGTTGTTGTTATTATTTTCTTTTAAACACATTAAGAGTCTGCTTTTCCCCCCTTTATAGGCTCTTATTGCTGAGACAGTTGGAAGTTATGACACCATGGATCTCTTCAGGCACACTACAGAACTCAATATGCATGTAAGAATCTAAACATTCTTCTTGAAGATTCATTAATGAGAAAAGTATTATCCTTATTAAGGGAATGAATAGATATTTGGCTAGACATAGTGGCTTACACCTATAATCCCAGTGATTTGGGATGCCATGGCAGGAGGATTGCTTGAGGCCAGCCTGGATAACATAGAAAGACCCTGTCTCTTAAAATTTTTTTTGAAATTAGCCAGGCATGATGGCATACATCTATAGACCTAGCTACTCAGGAGGCTGAGGCAGGAGGATTGCTTCAGCCCTGGAATTTCAGGTTACAGTGAGCTATGATCACACCACTGCACTCCAGCCTGGGCAGCAGAGCAAGAGTCTGTCTCTAAGAAAAAGCAAAAGAAAATAAATAGATAGTGATATTAGATGTTAATGACATCAGTTGTTTTTATTCTTTATTCTTTCTTAGAAACAGATTAGTTGTCTTGCATTAAAGAACTTCCATTTTTCTTTTTCCTACAGCTTTCAAGAGCTGGTGAAGAAATGACATTGAGATTTAATAGATACAGTAGCGGTCATATATTAATAGACTAGAAACTGAGACTCCAGGAAAAAAATAGACATGAGATAAGGAGTAGGCGTGGTAGGCATTTCTAGATTATTATGAAAATGTTTTAGTATTTTGTTGTTGTTGTTGTTGTTTTGGTTTGACCTTTGGCAATGGTGCTGAGGAGGGGAAAGTCAACCCATCAGGCGAGGCTCTGTTTTCTGCATTTTATCCCGTTTGATTCTTTCAGTTAGGATTGGAATAAGTAATTTCAATATGTTCTTAGCTCTGTGTTTTATCATAATGACCCTTCCTTTAAAGGCACTTTTAACAGTTGACTTAAAGAAGACTGAGATGGGATATTTATTGTATTGAAGTGCATTGTTTTATTATTTTAATTTTTATGGACGTATTTATTATCCTATGTCAACTTGTTAACATTGGTTTTTTTTAAAGACCGAAGGAGCATTAGGTTATGCATATTGGGTCTGCACAACATTGCAAGATAAAAGCAACAGAAAAACAGAGCTGTATCAGTACAACATCCTCCAGATGAATGCTATTCCAGCAGCACAAGTTGTTTTGAATAAATACGTAGGTAAGATACCTGTTACATAATAGCAAGATATTTGAATAACTATTGAAATAATTTAATTTTTAAAATCAGTTCATTTCAAATTAAATATTAGTGTTTTTTTAGAAAGACATGAATTTGCCTTCTTTTTGCAATGGCAAAGCAGTCTTTACTTTGTAAATGTTAATAAAGGCTTTTGAAGAAAGATGAAAATTATTACCTAATGATACAGGGTAAAAGTAATTTCTCTGTTATAGTGGAGAGTGTATTAGGCTTTAATACACTCTTCACTATACACTAGAACAGTTACTGCTGTTCTATGTTTACTTTTTACTTTCTCTGCAGTCTTAGGCCAAGTGTTTTACCTCCCTTAACTTCTGTTTACTCTTTGGGTAGTGGATATAACAATAGCTGGATTGTAGAGTTGTGAGAACTAGATGAGATAATATAAATAAAGTGCTAAACCCACTGTCTTTAGCTTCTTCGCTTAACACCTAATTGTTCTTGAAGATATTGGAAAAATATGTTTAGGTTTAGGAAGTTGACAGATGGTGAAGTTTTATTAACCATCTATTATAATTTCCTGTCTTTTAAAATAAAACTACCATTGGGTTTTAATCACTACTCCACCACTTAGTAGCCTTGACTGAAACCTTGGGCATGATACCAAAATTCTCAACAGGAAAGTATTGCTTAGTGTTTAAATAAGATGATTTGTACAAAATGTTATGCCGAGTGCCTGGCATATCCTAGATGCTCAAGAAATGTTAGTTTCATTAACTTTTGACAAAATACTGATAAAGAAGCAAGGAGTTTAAGCAGGAATACTGAAAACAGTAAATATTGACAGTGAAGTAATATAAAGAATAAGACAAATTGTGAAAAACTGGAGAGAAAATAGCTCACTATAGATATTGTGGGGATTGTGGCACTCTGCATGCATTTAGCCTGAGGCACTAGAGTAGACAATTAATTTACAAACATCAGCATTTGGGGGGATTTGCCTTAGGGTGGGTATGGCATGTGAAAGCATGGATCTCCTCATGCTTATTTTGACTCAGTTTTGTTGACTCTTTCTTTTGTGACTTTAAGGATTTTTCAAGAATAGCTCTATGTGATTTTAACCTTAGAACTGTTCTAAGATCAATGGATCTTAGAACCTAACAGTCACGTAAGACATGATTACACTATACTTTGTTAAATAATTTAGAGGATTTGAAGGCTTACTTTCCACTACTACTATTTTTTTCTTTTTTTTTTTTTTGTTTGATTTTTCCACTACTACTTTTAAGTAGATTAGATCAGATGTATTTCTTTTCCTACATTGTACCTTCATAGATATGTAATCACCCAACGGGTTCACTTTGTCCACTGCCTAGACAAGGCCAATTTAGCAAGATGAGAATTACAATAGAAAAAGAGTAATTCATGTGGAGCTGATTGTGCGGAGGACTAGAATTTTATTATTACCAAAATCAGTCTCCCCAAGCGAGCATTTGAGGAATCAGCATTTTTAAGGATAATTTGGTGGATGGTTGTGGGTGGGCGGTGAGTCAGGAGTGCTGATTGGTTGGGTCGGAGATGAAATCATAGGGAGTTAAAGCTGTCCTCTAGCCCAGAGTCAGTTCCTGGGTAGTGGCCACAAGATCAGATGAGCCAGTTGATTATCAATCTGGGTGATGCCAGCTGATCTATCAAATGCAGGTTTTGCAAAACATCTCAAGCACATATGCCTGACTCCTAAACCATAATATCTAATCTTTTTTTTTTTTTTTTTTTTTGAGATGGAGTTTCACTCTTGTTACCCAGGCTGGAGTGCAATGGCGCGATCTAGGCTCACTGCAACCTCCGCCTCCTGGGTTCAAGCAATTCTCCTGCCTCAGCCTCCTGAGTAGCTGGGACTACAGGCACGTGCCACCATGCCAAGCTACTTTTTTTTTGTATTTTTAGTAGAGACAGGATTTCACTGTGTTGACCAGGATGGTCTCGATCTCGACCTCGTGATCCACCTGCCTCGGCCTCCCAAAGTGCTGGGATTATAGGCGTGAGCCACCATGCCCAGCCATATTTCTAATCTTTTGACTAATTTGTTAGTCCTGCAAAGGCAGTCTAGTCACCAGGCTAGGAGGGGGTTTGTTTTGGGCGAGGGTTGCTGTCCTCTTTGTTTCAAACCAAGTTCCTCCCAAAGTTAGTTTAGCCTGTGCCCAGGAATGAACAAGGACAGCAGGGAGGTTAGAAGCAAGATGGACTTAGGTCAGATCTCTGTCACTGTCTGTTGTAATTTTGAAATGGTTTCAGATACATGCTTTTGACATTAAAATTTCAAAATACTGCACTGAAAGTACCAAACGTGTCTTCTGTCTCTGGTGAACAGTACTATAATTTTTTTTAAATGCATATATGTTGGAACAGAACCACCAAGAGAAATTATCACTAAATTTAATCACAGTAAGGCTTAAGTGATTAGCCAAAGAACTGAATTTCCTTATAAATCTCATGACTGGTTTTAACAAGAACTATAATTTCAAGTTATTATACTTTTGGGCATAAAAATGTTTAAATTGTAAAATACAACTAGAAATTATATATAACTACTAAACATTATTCAGCAATTTAGAAGAGTTAACAAACTTTTTACTGACATATTGTATTCAAGATAAAATCATGCCACTCTTCTTAACAGTGTGAGTGATCTCAAGAGGTAATCTGGTATTTAAGATACTGAAAAAACTGAAAATAAAACTAGTCTTTTGTTAATACCTTCAGTATGCATATATAAAATGAAGCTATTTCTCCGTTTCTAGAAAGAATTCAGAATTATGCTCCAGCTTTCACAATGTTGGGTTACTTAAATGAACATCTGCAACTGAAAAAGGAAGCAGCAAATGCATACCAAAGGTAAACTACACTTAATGGTGATAGACGCAGGAGGAAGTGGAGGGAGAGAGTTTCTGGAGAATCTCTGGCCTGTGCACTGGGAGAACAGGGTGAAGCCAGAGAAATGACACCGTTTGCAGGCGGGGAGGAGCCTGACCTCTTCAATTCTTGTGTGCGTAGCCTGGAATCAATCTGTGAGACGGGGCCTGATACCATGAACCCCTCTCGCTTTGCTGAGGATTTTTTCTTTTTCCTTTTCACCCAATAAATCCATTCCCTCACCCTTCAGTGTGTCTGCATGCCTAATTCCTGGTTGTGTGACAAGGACCTAGTTTTAGCTGAACTAAGGAGCAAAGTCCTATTAGTTGCAATGTAATCATGATCAGTTAACTTTTCAAATGTTAGTTTCATTCTCAGGAAGAAGGTTCTAAATAATTGTTCTGACTCCTTTCCTGATCTTTCATTGTATGCTATTGTTACATCTTAGAAGGTGAAAAGATGTAGTCCCAAATTTTCAGCTATATTTTGGTTTCTGTTGCTCATCCTAAGGAGGTGGGGTGAAGAAATTAAGAAAGAGAAACTGATAGAAAAGAAAGAAAAAACAAAAAACTTCTCAGATTTTTAGAAAAGTCTGTCTTTTGAGAACTTGTCTAGCTTTATGAGATTTAAATGTGTTCAGTGAGGCAAGAAATGAGAACATTATGATGTGTTTGTTTGAATGACTTTAATACATACTATGTATTTACTCATTTAACAAATATTTGTTGACACTGTGTGCCAAGCAGTACTCTTGTACTGTCTATTTTGCAGTAAATTAAAAAAGACAAAGGCCCTATTCTCATGGAACATGTGTTCTGTGGCAGAAGAGACACGATAAGCTAATAAACATCTGTGTTGATAATAATTGCTAAGAAAGAAAATTAAAGCAGGGTAAAGGGCCAGACAATGTAGGGCAGGAGGTGACATTTCAGGTGAGTTTAAGAATGCATAGATTTACTAAGGAGGCAGTTGAGGCCTGACTGCAGTGAACCGAGGCCACAAGCCACATCTGTACAGGACCATTCCAGGCAGAAGGAACAGCAAGAGCAAGTTCTCCAAAACAGGAGTGGATTTGGCATGTTTACAAAATAAGAAAGCCGGTGTGCTAGAATGGAATGAGTAGCTGGAGAGTGGTAGGAAACAAAATCTACATAAATTTCTGTGTAAATTAATGGATAGGTGATAGAAAGTAACTGTTGATCTCATGACCAACTACTAGATGAAAAGGAAAAAGACCTGGTTGCCTAACCTCTGAGGCACACTATTGCCCTAAATCTAAATAAATATTTACAAGAAACCTTGTCAGGTAAAAAATAATTGAGGTGTCCCAAATGCTTTGCCATATCCTTTTATGATTCTCTCCGTAGTTCAGAGGAGTAATCACTAGATGGTACTGGAGCCTATGTAATCAAGAAGTTATTTTCCCAGGTGTGTATGGAAAGAAGTATATGGAAAGAAGTGTATATGAAAAACCACTATTTTGCTTCTTTCAAAGCCAGCAAGCTTACCAGTAAACTGTATAAATATGACAGACTGCAACAGTGAGCAAGATTTTTAAACAGAGAAAACTAGGCAGCTAGGGTATTCACAATTTTTTCTTTTTTTTTTTTGGTACATATCATTATTTTTGCAGATATTGTGAATCTAACATTTGTTACACCTTAGGCTTAAAATGGCATCTCCACAGTCACTTGGACATGTACCACTTTCTTGACTGATCATCACTGCTGTTTTCTGCTTTAAACAAATATTTTATGGTTGAAACCACAAATTAGGCATAAATCGAAATAGAGGTATACTTTTTCATCTCTGTAATACTGTCTTTAGGCTTCTCTAGCAAATGCTTGGTTTTCATGCATTTCATCCTTTTTATCAGGGAGATAAAAAGCCTTTCTTGGCTATTTCTCTGAAGCCAGTCCTCTTTAAGTGGGAAAGAAAATAAAAACCAAGAATCTTGTTAAATATTCTTTTTAGTCATTAAGACATTTCCCTGCTTGCCCATTGGGAACTGAGCATGAGAAAGAAATATGGGTTGTCAGCAGGTTATTTATTCCAATCCTCAAGGGACCTCTAATGGTTAGTCCCCTTCCCTCAACTTACTATTCTTTAAATATTTTTCTGTATGTACAAGCAAGGGCACATGAAAACATTCCATTTCATGGCCTCCTAACTCAAACTACTAATATGTAAATAGTTTCAAGAGTATTTTCTATAAACTCCAAATATGTCAAAATTATAAACTGTGACATAGTCATTTCCCATATTTAGATTTTTGGAATATTTAGAACTTAAATGTAATAAATGATTTTACTTACTAAGAGGTCATTTAGATGTTATTTTCCTGACAGTCTAAAATCTAAATATATATAAGTGCTTTACTGGTACCAACTTAATAAAATGTGAATAAGCTGTTATAACTAGCACTAAAGAATTCGTAGAATTAAATGAACAAAATAATCTGTGGATTCAGCTAAAGAGGAAGGTAACAGAATGCTGTTGCACAGAGATAAATTAAAATACTTTTTTTTTTTTTAAGGGCAATTTTGTTGTCACAGACTGCAGAAGACCAAAATACTTATAATGTTGCAGTAAGAAATTACGGCAGATTATTATGGTAAGCATAGTTTTTCTCCATTAATTCTGTCAGTTGATTGTATTTTTCTGGTGAAAGCTATGGGACTGATGATATACTGACTAGTTCCCAGAGTAGTGGAACATGTAGGATGCATAATTTCCATAGAAACAGGCTGTGTATGATAACTAACCTCAGTATGCTTTATATGGAGCAGATTTAGAACTCAGGGTTTGTTGACTGGAGATGAGAACATTTGGAAGAGAGGTAGTAGATGTCTCTAATAGTAGAAGCCTAGTTAATTGAAAGGGGCATTAGATTTATTCTTATTTGTAATATATTCTTAAACTGGGGATGAACATTCGGGGTCCGGTAACCCCTTTGAAATAGTACACAGAAATTGTTGCGTGAGTACCGTTTGGGGATGGAGAAGGAGCTCTATATCTTTTCTCAGTTTTTTGGAGGCTTCTGACTCTAAAATAAGAACGAATGAAAGAAAGATAAAGAATCAAGTGTTTTAGAGGGTAGAACTAGGGCCAGAGAATAGAAGTATTGTAAGAGGAAGGTTTTTGATTCAAGTTAAGGCAGCATTCCTCAAGTTTAGAGCTGCCTGAAAGTTGAATGGTCTAGTTTGAAAAACACTGTTAAAACTATACTGTGATGTTTTAGGATTAGTGCTACATCTTTTAAGGAGCTACACGATAGACTTTAGGTGGCCAGTTATTTTCTTTTATAACTGTGTAACTGAATTATATCCAAAATTGGAAAATTGTACTGTTCTGACAGCCTCTCCTTTCAATTATTTTAAGCTGTTAATATTTAAAAGTTGAAAAAAAAATTTAAAAATTGATAGAGCTGTCAGTTCCAAGGTTTTGTTGAAGCAGAGAATAGATACATTATATGGAATAAAATATCTGTTCTTTTTAGTTTTGATGTTTTATATAATCTAAGTACTAATGTAAGTATTTTAGAAGAAAATATATACCTTCCATTGAAAACAGATTATCTGTTTTTTTTAAATTGTTTTTATTATGAAATGTATGAAATGTACGAACATGCAGTAAGTAATAGCATAATTTAATGAAAAGTCACTACACAAATTATGTCTTACAATTCTGTCAGCTTGCTTCAGGTTACTTTTTCAAAGAAAAAGTTTCGGATAAATTTGTTGAAGTCCCCACATTCCCTTCTCTAGTTCCATTATTTTCTCCACAAAAGCATGCATATCTTAGAAGATAGTGTTCATTTAAATAACACTTTTTAATATATATGTTACGTGTCCGTAAACAATCTAAGGTAGTCCTCTTTTATCAAAATTTGAGTATTGATTTTATAAATTCTTTCACCTTTATAAAATTTATTTAGAAGTAAAGGTTTCCTATATTTTTAGCCCTCATTCATATCCTCCAAGATTAAAAAGATTTTATAAAAAGATTTTCACAACACATTAAAAATAAAAACAGATTCAGGTTATAGTGATGGATACCAGAAAGAAGAATCTCAAATATATAATGTTTCTCTTCAGATGATGGCAGTTGAACTTATATATATTTCTTTTATCTTTATGCAAAAACAAGTTATTTTTCTGTTATTAATAAGTATTGCACTTTAGTATAACAATTTATATCCCCCCTCCACTTTAAAAAAAAAAAAAAACAGTTTCACTCTTGTTGCCCAGGCTGGAGTGAAGTGGCGCGATCTCAGCTCACTGCAACCTCTGCCTCCCAGGTTCAAAGTGATTCTCCTGCCTCAGCTTCCCCAGTAGCTGGGATTACAGGCACCTGCCGCCATGCCCAGCTAATTTTTGTATTTTTTTAGTAGAGACGGGGTTTCATTATGTTGGCCAGACTGGTCTCGAACTCCTGACCCCAAGTGGTCCGCCCATCTCGGCTTCCCAAAGTGCTGGGATTACATGTGTGAGCCACCATGCCCAGCTTCTTCCCTCTTAAACACAAAAATGAATAATGTTTTGTTTGTGGAATTTTAGTGTGTCTGTATGCCCTCCAAAAAAGAAAAAAAAAATGTGCAGATAAACAGTTTACACAAAAGATAGGTTTGATTCTGACTAGGCATTTTATGTCTTGTTAAGCTTGGCAAAGATGCTAGAACCATACACATAGGTTAATATTTAACTAAGTAAAAGTGTCAGGCTTAAAAAAATTAGAGTTCCATATAAAAGTCAACTTGAAATTATTTTTATAGTTTGAAGTTTTAATTACAGTTTATTTTAAAAAAGAGAGACACTGTAATTTACTAGAAATGATCATTTTCACACGTAACTTGAAAGAAGCAAAATATGAAATTAAATCCCCCAGTACATCCTGTTTGTAATATACCTTCTATTTTAAATTCTTTCTACAGCTTTAACACTAATTTATTATAGCTTACTGAATTGTCACTATTAAAAAAGAAGTACACATGAAATTATCAAAACAAACAGTGTAATTTTTTTTTTTTCTTGACAGAGTCTTGCTCTGTCGCACAGTGGTGTGATCTCAACTCACTGCAACTTCTGTCTTCCGAGTTCAAGCAGTTCTCCTGCCTCAGCCTCCTGAGTAGCTGGGATTATAGGTGTGTGCCACCATGCCTGGCTAATTTTTGTATTTTTAGTAGAGACAGGGTTTCACTATGTTGGCCAGGCTGGTCTCGAACTCCTGACCTTGTGATCCACCTGCCTTGGCCTCCCAAAGTGCTGGGCTTATAGGCGTAAGCCACTGTGCCTGTCCCAACTTAGTGTAATTATATCTCAGTAATTTGATGATACACATCAGAATTACTTTTGATATTAAAAGTAAGTTGTGTTTTACTTCTTAGTTCCATTGGTGAATATGATAAAGCTATCCAGGCTTTTAAGTCGACACCCCTTGAAGAGTTAGAAGACATCACAGGGTTTGCATTGGCTTTATTCATGAAGGGGCTTTATAAAGAAAGCAGCAAAGGTAAGTATGTTGCTCTGAAGCTAAAGGACACGTCTAACTTTTCGAGAGTTGAGTTTAATCATGATAAGCATACATACAGAAAGATGTAATAATTAGATGGGGTGGGGATTGCCATGTTTATTAAAATCTGACTAGGAGTCAGGAGTGATACTAGGTACTTTTCATCTGTTACCTCATTTAGAATGTTATGATGAACAGTCTTTATAATAGTGTCATGAGCTAAGTGTTCATTATACAGATGAGGAAACTGAGGCTGATCACTTGTGGCAGATGTGTGATTCGGCATTTGAAAGCAAGTATTTACTACTTAGATGTTAATTTCTGATAAATGAAGTCCTCAACCACTGCTGCTAATCAATTTTGATTTCTCCAAACCTGTTAAATGATGCATTTTCACATATATGAGCTTAGCCGACATGTGTAGAGAGCATTTAAGTATCTACTGCTTGATAGAGTTGCTGGGCTGCACATGGGAATTTTGGTGATACTCTGTGGCTCCAGGCCTCTGCTCTGGCCCAAGTTGGCTCTTAAAGACAGTGACCTAGATCCCTGTATAGATTCTGAAAGTAGAAGTTAAAGATTGTCATGTAATAATCCTAATAATACTTCAGAATCACCTTGGAACAGTGAAAACAGGTTTGATTATTATAAATGTTTATTCTATCTGCTTGAGAACAGGAGAATACAAAGTTATAACTGTATTTAGACCTTTCTGAAAAATAGGATTAGGAAAGGAAAAATCCCATGCTTCATTGATCAGGATGGCTTTTATATTGTTTTGTTTGTTTTCAATTTTATGTATCAGCCTATGAGAGAGCCTTGTCTATCGTTGAATTGGAGCAAGACAAAGCCCATATCTTGACAGCTCTGGCAATAACTGAATATAAACAAGGAAAAATGGATGTAGCCAAGACATTGCTATTTAAATGGTATGTATATTTGACATCAGCACTTTACTTGATCAGATACTTAAATATTTGGGTTGAAATTTGGAGCAATGTAAAATGAAGTTCTTAATATTTTAGGAACTTTTGGGTGAACAAAAGGGATTGGGCCCACCTGGTTCTGAATTGATAGTCACAGGTGGAGCTACAGCTTGTGATTTAATTCTTAGCCCTGGATCTCCTCAGTCCTTCAAAACTGTCCTATACTCTGTTGCATATTTGTTTTTTTACAAGAGCAACTGATCACCTGATAAGTAGTATCTGAAAATTTTAATGAAGATAGTTATAATGAAGCCTTGTTTTTTGGCTTCTTCGATTCCCAAAGAGATATTTTTTTCTTTCCTTTTCAAGATAACCTGTTAAAAGGTTCATTTAAAGGTGAATCTTTTTTAAAATGTATAAGAAAACTTAAAACGATTTCTGTGTTTTTGGAATAAGTTAATAAAATAATGACCTGTGCTATTTTTGGCTACTTATATAGTATTTTTTAACTTCTTGAAGATTAGTTTTTTAGAAAATTGGCTTTAATCCCTTCATAAGCAGTAGTGATTAATGTGTGCTATTGAACAGTGGTCCTCACTGAGTGTTTTATTCATATTTTTGAGTGGTACTAATCCTCATGGTGCAGAGATATTCTCCCATTGCAAAAAGCTTATACCCTTACCTCCCACCCATTAAGTGCTAATATTAGCATTCCTCAGTCATTGTGACTACAACAAAAAAAATTGCCTCTGTAACTACCCCATCTCCAAAGGTGGGGGAATGGAGATGGTTATATGGTATGGGTTGAGAACCAGTTCTATAGGGTAAACTTTACATTTGTTCATTTGATGTGATGCCTTTGTCTTATCCTGTGTCATTATAGTCATTTCCTTATCGAATAAATAAGCAATTTTTTTCTTCCTCTTTGTTGGTTAGGAAAAACCAATTTTAAAGAAAATTGTGTCACTTTACATGGATATATCCTTATAACATGTATCTGTGGTTATATATAACATGTTCTGAGAACTTAAATTTGCAAATGACTTGGTGACAAGAATCATAGATACTAATTACTGAAGTTATCAAGAGCAAAAGTAACTCCATATTAGAGGTGTTAGATTAGCCTTTGGTTACTGCTTAAGACAGTAAATAGAAGTGGGGAAAAAAATAACAGTATAATCTTTCCTTTTCTCCTTCTCCTTGTCACCAAGTCATTTGCAAAAAAAACACCTTTATGCCTATGTTTTATGTTGTTGGATCCAAGCCTAGATTTTTTGTTTTTTCATGTTTCTTCCTTTGTTTTTGATTTTCTGCATGTGCTCATCCAAACTTGACACTACCAACTGCTTCCATCTCTACCCATTGACATTCTTTTGTTTGATCTTCTTTCTATGAAAAGTTCAGTTACTTAATCTATATTGCTGTCATTTTGGCATTCATAGCTTGGGAACTGAGCCAGTGTCCTAGACACTGATTTAAGGGGAATAGGATTAAGTTCATTATGTAAGGGGAAAAAATCTAGTTATCAACTTTACAGACTTTATGATAATAAGTAACCATGTGTAAAATCCCTAGAACATGGTAAAAAAACAACATACAGGTATTGAACATTTACCTAATATTAGAATGTAGTCATTTCAGTAATAATTTAGATTCTGTTTATTATTAAGTATTAAAGTAGGTAGTTTTTTTTTTTCCTTTGAACAAAGCACAAATTAGAATTTCTTTTTTTGTTATCGGTATTGAAATTTACTGTTTGCATTTTTAGTTGTACCCGTTAGCAGTGTGGTTATTTGCTAGACGTGACACTGACATACTTCCATATTTGGATGCATATGTATTAACTCTTATTGTAAAAAGAGTTACTATGGATACTTTAAGCTATTTACTTCAGAGCTGCCTCAGAAAATTTATGATTTCATACCCGTTTGTCAAAATGAAATATAAGACTCCTCCTTCCAAAAATAGTCCAAAGACTTAGTGGTAGATGTGTGACATTTTACAATGTGATAAATATTTCTGTTATATTTCAATGAGCATTGTTTAAAACTTGGAACTGCTAAATTATTAGTTTATTTTTTACATAAGGTCACTTAAATGAAAAGTGATTAAAATATATCTTTCCTACTTTGCCATCTACAAAACATCAGATATTACAGATGTTAGATTACATCTCAGTGTTAAATCTTCACTGATAGATGTACTTACATAAATCATGAAAATTCTACTTAAACTATAGAAGTGAATTGTGGACATAAAAATGGTTATGCTGTTTGGATAATGGCACTAGGCAGCATTTGTATAATAACTAATGGCAAAAATTCATGGCTAATGTTGTATAAAATAAAATATTCTTTGAGTAAAATATTCCCTTTATTAATGTTATAGAAGGGGGGATACAAAAAGGAACTCACAGTTTGTATGACAGTGTCAAATATTATTTTGATTTTAGTATTTCCTGTTTTGGTTTATTTGCATCTTAAAAGTGTATAATTTGCATCTAAAAAAGTATCAAACATTGTTTGATGAAGCCTAATTATGCTGGACTGTTTTGACCTGATTCAATCCTCTGATAAGCAGTTGTGGATGTTGGGCATGAGAACTGAATCATCTTTGTCTGGAATGATACTACACTCCACAATTTCTACTTTGGAGAAATTCTAACTTGTGATTCCTGGTAGAGCAAATTATTTTTCTAGCCTAGCAATGATCTAGAAGCAGAGGAATCCCAGTACCTTTTAAAAGTTATTATGTGGTTTTCTTTTAAAAAGCTCCTGTTTTTGGAAAGTAACATTTATGGGTACGACACCTGTTCATTATTTGCACATAAAATAAAACCATTTAAAAAGTTGAGGTTTTTAAAAAAAAATCCTTTATTTTTATTACAGTATAAAATTCACAATAATTATTATAAGTTTCATTGTTACTGGAGAGCTAAGATTTTCTTTATTTAAATTAACAAGGATTCCTAAACATTAATGACTTTTCCTCCATAAGGCTAAGTCAGATTTTATAGTTGAAAGAGGAAAAAAAAGATGCTAGATGTTTACCTATAAAATGTAAATTCTTCTTATATTATAAAAATACTCATTTGGAGTACAGTTGATATAGAGATAATTTGTACTTATTATGTAAAGTGCTGGTTTCAATACCATAGGGTAAATAAGACAAAGCTTTATCAGAATGATAAAAATCATATTTTAATTGAAGAGTTTTTTTTATTATTCATACCTTCTAAGATTTTATTGAAACTCAACATTTTAGCAAAATTGTCCTAATTATTTACCTAATTACTGAAACTCAAAGAAACTAATTTATATTTGTTTCTAAAGCTTAGTGTATTAGTTTTCACACTGCTAAAGAAATACCCGAAACTGGGTAATTTACAGAGAAAAGAGGTTAATTGACTGAAGATTCTGCAGGCTGTACAGGAAGCATGGCAGCATCGGCTCTGGGGCAGCCTCAAGAAACTTATAATCATGGCAGGAAGTGAAGGGGAAGCAGGCATACCATACATGGCCAGAGCAGGAGGAAGACAGAAAGAGGGGAGGTGCTTGCACACCAGGTCACGTGAGAAGTCACTATACAGTAAGCCATTCACTATTCACTAAACCATTCATGAGAACTCAGCTTCATGATCTAGTCACCTCCCACTAGGCCCTACCGCCAACACTGGGGGATTACAATTCAACATGAGATTTGGGCGGGGACACAGATCCAAACCATATAGCTTAGATATAATGACCAGAAAATAAGTTTGGCTTCTGTTGCTCTGTGAAAGAGTCACTGGTGCTTTTAACTGCTTCAGACAATCAGGGAATTTGCTATCTCTAAACACTAAGAAATTTGCTTTTATATTAAAGTTGAGTTTAGTTTAGTGAATCTTAATGTAAATTGCCTTTTATACTAAATAATGTTTAAATAGTTACAGATAAAGACTACTCTAATCATAACTAATAGGTAATTTTAAAATATATTTACAGCTCTATCTTAAAGGAACCAACCACAGAAAGCCTTCAAACCCTTTGTGCTCTAGGGTTGACAATGCAGGATGCTACACTGTCAAAAGCAGCACTTAATGAGTTATTGAAGCACATCAAACACAAAGACAGTAATTATCAGAGATGCCTTCTTACATCAGCCATCTATGCGCTCCAAGGCCGCAGTGTGGCAGTGCAAAGACAAGCATCTAAAGCTGTTCACAGGTAAATTCTGTATTTGTGAACTTGGAACCTAATTATATTTGATATGGTTGCATTTGACATTTGGACTTTATTAAGACTATAAAATAAGGTAAGCATATACATTTGAAAACCAAACCTGGCTTTATGAAATTTTACACAGGACCAGGTAACTGACTGTATATATTATTTTACTATAAGCATTTTTTAAAATTCAATTGCTAAGTTTGGCCCTTAGTCAATTTAAGGCTCAAACTTTGTTTTGCTATTAAAGCTCTTAATTCCCAAGTTTGTAATATTCTTAGTCTGTTGTCTGGTACTGTCTAGATTGATGGCTTTAGTAATTTTCAGCCATTTAAACATTCATTAATTTCTTCAAAATTTGAAAAAAGAAAGCTGTCATTAGCAGCAGTGGTTAATTATTCTATTTTATTTTCAGCAGTAAAGTGTCATGTCTGTAGTTTCTTTTCCTTTCACAGTTCATTTTTATTAATCTTTGCTGTTTTTTTTTAATTGTTATTAATAGCTTAGTCCTTATGTCATTTTCATTACTAGTCATCTTGCTGCCATGCAATATTGTTTATCCTATAATTTTTAGGATAAATTTCCTTACCTTTTCTTTAAGGAAATTTAATACACTGTGTTCAAACACAAAGAGATTATAATCATTCATTGTTGATTTTTTTCTTCTTATTTTCATAAAGACTTGATGTATATGGGTGATATAAAGTATGTTTTCAACCAAACATGCACAATTAATATGAACTTGTGTTAGATGTCTAAAAGGTTTTAAACTTAATAAATTGTTGGTTGTTTGTACATTTTGTAGTTAAAGTAACTTGTCCCTAAGCCTGCTGCTTTTGCCGATCTCTTTAGTAACCCTGGTGACCCCGCTCTTTGGTCTCTGTTGTCTCGAGTTGTTGCACAGTATGCTCAACGAAATGCAAAGGTAAAGAAATGTTTGTTTCCAATTCTAGCAAAAAGATAAACCGACTTGTGATGTGGTAAATACGATCATTTTAAACTATGGCATTATTTTTCTGAAAGATAATTTACACAATGAAGAGAGTTCTGTTATTATCTAAATTCTCCAGTAGTCATTCAACAAATATTATACCGAGTTTTTTCCATGTACAGTTGCACTGTTCTAGATGTTGTGGGAGCTACAAAGAAGTAGGAAGATCTTTTTGAACACATACAGATTATGTTAATGATGTGGGATAAAGTAATGTAACATTGCCGTATAGTAAGCACTAGCTATGTGTTTTTGAATCCCAAAAGATAATTTTATTTAAAATCTTCTTAAAGATAAGGCAGTAAGAACTAGAACACTGCTGTATGCAAAAATGTAATTATAAACATGAAGTCAGTGACATTCTATGAAGCATTATATACTCTATTTTAGTTTGTAACAGCCAGATATTTTCAGGAGTTTGTATTCTATTAACTTCTGTGGTTAATATATCCTCTCCATAGTTCGCTTCACTAGTTGGTAAACATAATAGTAATAGCTAATGTTTTGAACACTTATCACACTAATAATTCCAATATCTGAAATCTGTGAGACGGTCTGAGTCTTGTTCATTATTTTTACTGATTTTCATTCTTGGTGGCTTTGTTTCTTTGTTTACCCAGTTGTGTGTACTTGAAAATTATTTGTAGGAATAATTTGAGGCCTAGAATTAAGGTACCTTTCTATAGAAATAATTTGTACTTGCTTCTGCTGGGTGTTTGGGAGGTCCATCAATCTGGGACTATGTTAAACAAAGTTTAGAACTTAGGAGTTTTGGACCAACCAGGCTACTTTTTTTTTTTTTTGAGATGGAGTTTCGCTCTTGTTACCCAGGCTAGAGTGCAATGGCGCGATCTCAGCTCACCGCAACCTCCGCCTCCTGGGTTCAGGCAATTCTCCTGCCTCAGCCTCCTGAGTAGCTGGGATTACAGGCACGCGCCACCATGCCCAGCTAATTTTTTGTAGTTTTAGTAGAGACGGGGTTTCACCATGTTGACCAGGATGGTCTCGATCTCTTGACCTCGTGATCCACCCGCCTCGGCCTCCCAAAGTGCTGGGATTACACCAGCCAGGCTACTTTATGTCTGGGTTGCTAGTTCTTGAAACTTGGCTTAATTCTGATTCACCATAAACCTTAGGGTGTGGTCTTTTGGGGTTTCAGCTTATTCTGATGTGGGTTTCCTCTATACTCCCCTCCTTGTGTGAACCTGGGCTTTAATTTTTGTCCTACTAGCCTATACATCCTTCAGGGTTAAAATTAAAATTTGTTAGCATTTGAGCTGGGTGCAGTGGCTCACGCGTATAATCCCAGCACTTTAGTAGGCCGAGGCAGGCGGATCACATCGGGTCAGGAGTTCATGACCGTCCTGGCTAACATGATGAAACCCTGTCTCTACTAAAAATATAAAAATTAGCTAGGCATGGTATCACATCCCTGTAGTCCCAGCTACTCAGGAGGTTGAGGTAGGAGAATTGCTTTAACCCAGAAGGTGGAGGTTGCAGTTAGCCGAGCTCATGCCATTGCACTCCAGCCTGGGTGACAGAACAAGATTCCATCTTAAAAAAAGAAAAAAAAATTGTTGCCATTTGCAAATGGCAGAAGCAGCTTCCCTGCTCACTTGTCTCTGAATTTCAGTTTTCCCTTTCAGTTATGGCTTGGCAAGTCCTTAATATCTTGTCAGTTATTCAGTGTGTTTAAGAATATGTTTTTAAAATGTTTTATCTCAGTGCTTTTTAAACTTTACTGTGCAATTGAAGTCACCTGGTGACCTTGTGAAAATGCAGATTCTAATTTTCTAGGCCTGAGGTGGGACCCAATATTCTGCACATCTAACAACCTCTTAGAGAGTGTGGATGCCGCAGATGCACAAGCCGCAGTTTGGGCAGCAGGGTTTTATTTCACATTTTTAGTTATTGTTAGTGAGTGAGTAGACTCAAAGAACCTGAAAGATCATTGTTATTAGACTCCAAAATTACCTGAATGAAGTGCTTTATTATGTGTCAGCTATCAGCATTTTTATAATCTCAACAACCGTATGAAGTAGCTGCAATTATTTAAAGTTATAGATTTCAAATTGACCTAATGAAAACTCAGTGATGCTACATGTATTTTTCTTATTTTTAGTATTGAGTTGATTATTGAAGCAATGATGAGCTTCATGGTGCCTTGAACTTTGTTTTACTAGAGTATGGAAGTTTTAAAAATACTGTGTATTTTCAGGTAGTAAACCATGTTAGTTTATCTTTTTGATTGCTCTCTTCCAGTCTTTTTAATCTTTTATATTGTTAGAAAATGTATACATTTCGTTGGTAAAATTACGTAACTTTTGAACCTTCAAATGAATATTCTGAAAGTAGAGTTGGTCACAGTAGAAAAGATTTCCTTTCACAAGAATATTAGTCTTTTCAAACAGTAATAGTAAGTTGATACTTATAAGAAGTTTAAGAGTTATAAATGTGGTAAAACTGAGCCTTTCCAGGCAAGATCTTATCAATCTTAATTTTCACTTTTTCATGAAAGTTTTTGCATGTGTATAAATCATCACTATTTTCTGTTCTAGGGAGGTGTTGCAGCAGGAAATGTGGCTCATATTCTGGACTCAAATCACGGAAAGGTTAGTTTGCCATAGTACAAAGGAAATGTTGAATTTATTAAATAATATTGATGAAGGAGTAATAATTTTTATAGCCTTAGGGATCATATCATATCAAATAGAGTCTTTTTAGTCAGTTTGAAAGAGAGGGAGCTATTAGGAAAATTGGCTAACATACTTCTTTTCTCTTATGTAGAAGGCGTTACTGTACACTACAGTAAATCAGTTGGCTATGGGAAGCAGTTCAGCAGAAGATGAAAAAAATATTGCACTAAAGACCATTCAGAAGGCAGCTCTCCTTTCTCCAGGTGCATATAATATCTATTTCATTAATTCCAATTTTTTTTTCTAAATACATACTTTTTTAAATGGAGGCAAAATCTTTCACACAATATATATTTTATTGGCATTTTTTGTACCAGACAAAAATGTACATAATTTAGATCTTCTACAACAGGAATTTGGGTGATTAAAGTGTTATGCACTATGTAAGTGTTTAATACAATATATAATACTATCAGAAATGACATTTAAAAATTGATGCATCATAGATTCACATAGTTTCAAGGTGCATGTGATAATTCAGTACATTTATATTCACTAATTTAGATTCTATTAATCCTGCATTCATTTGTGGTTTATAGGAGCAAAGTTTATATTTCCCTGAAATAAGACAAAAGGGAATTTTAAGAAAATATTTCAAGATTTTGCATATTATTTGATTATCTGCTTTTGGCTACTGATAAGAGAGTATCAATTATCGGAAGAGGCCTAAAGGAATGTCTTCTTAATGATACTTTATTACCTGTACTGAAAGTCTGAACTATACACATATTTTCAAGAAACAATTTTAAACAATTTCCATTTTGCATCAATATGGCTTAGAGAGTTTTGCCTATAGCTACTAAATTATTTAACAAACATATTTTGATAGTTTTATGTGTGGTTAGCTTCTTGAAGGATGGTGATGTATCTTCTGTGGTAACTGTTAGAAATGCCAGTTATGGCCTCACCTAAGCTAATTGTGTCATATGTAGGCTGTTGATCACAAAGGTACTGAGGAATGTCACTTAAGCATGCTTCCATTACCGCTATTGGAAAATGCCAGAGAAGACTGAAATGTCTAGCAGTATAGGGTTATAAAGTATATTTTTACACAATATAGTATTATTTTTAATACTAAAGAAACCATTAAATGTATTCCCTTTCAACTCTTCAAATGTGTTAGATCAGAATGCTGTTGCTTTTGGCTAAGCACTGTTGGGAAAGAAATTATACAAAGAACAAGTTCAATATTATCTTCACAACAAATTGTAAAGAACCTCATTAAGGTGCAAAATATCTAACATTTCAGGGATTATTTTCTAAACTAATTTAAAAAATCAATATTCTGTTTATCTTTTCTTTCATTTTGACGTAGAACAAAAAGAGACTAAACATTTTGATTTGTCTATGTTGTATGTGTATATGTTGGTAAGTTTTTTATTTTTGGAGTTCTCAAGTAAATATTAGATAGACTTACTCTCAAGAATTCTTATTGTGGATCCAGAATGATAAAAGATCTGTTAGCTTTTGATTGTATAAGGACATAAACTTTAGAAAGGTGAGACTGCCCAGATAAGGTCCTCTCTAATGATCTCTGATGTTCCCAGATTATCTAGATAAATACATACTCAAGGAAGCAGAGACGCTTAAAACAGTGACTGAGTGGTAAAGATGAGTGCCTGTTTGAGACTTGTCCTTAGAGTCCAATGAAAATGAATCTAATTGTAGTTATGTGTAGTGGCTGTACCCCTAGTCCTTGTAGATCTTTAGATGAACAAAGTACAGTTTTCATAGATGCTATTCCAAGGAGTCTTGTCAGGAATATCAAGATAATTCCAAGAATTTAGAATTGAATGGAAAAAAAAAACCCAATTTCTGCTAGATTAGTGCTTCTGTGATACTAAGAGGTATTTTTGGCAAACTGTATTTTAAAATTTTTACATTTGTTATTTATATATTATCTTAGAGTCATTTTATGTTATAGGGAATTTGGGTTGATGATAATCTATGGAAGAGTTCATAGAAACAGTAACTATTTTGTGTTGTGATAGAAGAACTTGCTGCCAACTATTGTCCATTCTCCCACCAGAAATCCAAACTATATAATACTGTAAGATCCCTAACAAGTCTATCCCCTTAATCTTAGGATTAATTTAATATTCAGAGATTGACTCCACTTCTGTTGGAATCATAGAATTTAAGACCCTATGGCACCTCAGCTATTATCTGGTTTAGTTGTCTTGTTTTATAGGAAAATGAATCCTAAAGGAAGAACTACCACACATTAATTAGTGGCATTGCTAGACCTGAAACCCAGATCTAAGGCTGTCATGTGCCTTTCTCTATATAGTTCATCATACGTTCTAGAAAATGGTCCCCATTTGTTTATTTTGGAATTTGATTATGTCTGTGCTACTTAAAATAAAATAGTCATTATTTGGAGCAGAAATTGTTTCATAATATGGAGGTATGTATTTAATTTTTTGTAAAAGTATTTGATCTGCATAAGATTTTAATGATTCTTGTAATTTTGTTGATTTTTTACTTTTAGCGGTAATACTGGGCACCTATAACTGAAGTAGATATATATTTCAGACATCTGATAGAAAACATATATTGGGTGGGATGATCAGATAAGAAAAAATAGAAAGCTGAAGCTGAAAAGTATGATCACGTAACTATATTGTTAACTAGTACCTGCTTGTGAGAATTTAAAAGCATTCATTTGTTTTTTAAGCCTAACAGGACTAAAATATTAACATGTTGAAGTGAATGGCAAAATAAGATTTATAAAAATAAATGACCAAACAAATGAAAAGAAAAAAAACTTGTAAATGCCAAATCTCCTTCACATTTTTTTTTTCACAACTAACTTTCTTAAAAAGAGAAGTCTTTATGCATTATCTTCTCTATGCATAAAAAGTTTCCTTCCAACTCACTATTATTGGACTTTCCTCCTTCTCCCTCCCCTGTAGCTGCTGTCAAGGTTGAAGGAAAGAAGGAAAGATCAAATGAATGAAGGATATGTAATCATATAAATGCTTCACTTGGAATGATGAAATGACTTTCATACTTGCCTGTTAGAATATAGTTAAAATCATAAGCCTTTCCTTTGGCTTAAACTTTTCTTAAGAACTGGAAAATTGCGTTATCTTCCTTGTCCTAGGACAGAGTCTTTAAAACAACGATTACTAAGTGATGAAGATGAGTGAGACTTGTCCTTGGTGTCCAGTGAAAGTGAATCTAATTGCCCTTTCCACAGTAATACGGCACTCTAGGCAGCTGAGCTAATAACCAGCCATGAAAGAAGAACTTAATAGGATGTTTCTCATTCTCTGATACGTTTGGAAAAATTGGAAAATCTCTAAAGATGAATGTAGCAATGTGTCTCTGAAAACAAGTGCAATTTAATTTTCCTTTGAGAAAGTGAAATTGTTTTTTAGATACAATTTTTTTAAACTTGTAAACTCTTACTCTCATTTTTGATAGTTTTTCAGCCACATATTGATTTTAACAAGACTTACCACTGTGTATTTCCTGTTTTCAGGTGACCCTGCTGTCTGGGCTGGGCTAATGGCAGCCTGTCATGCTGATGATAAACTGGCCCTAGTGAACAACACTCAGCCAAAGAGGATGGATTTATACTTGGCACTGTTATCTGCTGTTACTGCTGCAAGTAAGTTTTAAAAAGCATCTGTATACATGATTTAATTCAGATTTCTTGAATGGTTAAATCAGGAACTCAAACAGCTTCAGCATATATTGTTATAAAAAATATATTCATTAAAAATCCATACATAGTATAATATTTGTATATATGTTTGATAAGCATATATATTTTTTTCTCTTCTAGATAGTTTAAAAGCCCAATAGGTTCTGTTAGCTGAAATCTCTTTTTTGTAGCATTTACTTACTTTGAGACTACCAGCATTTTAGGATAGAGGTGACCTGGAAAGAGTCCTTTGCTGAAACCAACATTGAAATTGTCCTGTGATTCCTCCTGGGAATCTTGGTCAGAGTAAGCTGTTAATCTAATCAGATTTACTTAACATTGTTTTGTAAGTCTATAAATTTCTTCATTGAAAAGTGACATAGATTAACCTACTTACATTAATAAGTAGATTAGCCTACTTTTGTCTTGGGACATTAGCTTTTCACTGAATTAATTTTAGGTTATTAATCATTTTTTAGTAAATGTTAAGCATCATTACTGCCTGTATTTTTGACCACCAGGGCAAATTAAGTAGGCTTTTGTTTAATGGTATTAGATCACAGAGTCTTTTATAAGATTGAAATATTTTAATAAAATGAATTTATTAAGTAGTAAATCAGAAATACCTATAACATAGTTATTGTTAAGCCATGTTTTTCAGATTAAAAGAAAGAACAATGTACCTATTTTTAGTTTTTATTCACATTGGCAATCTCTGACTTTCATTGGTATGTTTAGACTATAGGTGTATGAAGTGATTGTTGATATAACTGGGTTAGTATCTATCACATATTTTACCATTTTTTATTTGTTGCTCCTGTTCTTTGTTTCTATTTTTGTCCAACTATTTTTCTGTGTTTTATAGTTTTAATTATACCTTTCATATGATGCTATTTTCTCTTCTTTGTTAGCATGTCAGTTATATTTCCTTTTCTACTTTTTTTTACAGGTTGCCCTTTTTTACTGGTTGCAATATATGTTTACAATTAATCCAACTCCATTTTGAACTAACACTACTTAATGGATGGTGCAAACCCTTATAACAAAACAAGCCTAATTATTGTCCTTTATGTCATTTCTCTTTTGCTTACACATAAACATCCATACACATATAAGTACATATAATCAAATATGTTGTTGCTATCATTATTTTAATTTTTTCTTTTTTTTTAAGAGATGGATTCTTGCTATGTTGCCCAGACTGGCCTCAAACTCCTGGGCTCAAGTAACACTACCACCTCAGCCTCCCAAGTCAAAGATACACTTTTTTTTTTTTTTTTTTTTTAAAGAGATGAGGTGCTGCTATGTTGCCCAGGCTGGTCTCAAACTCCTAAGCTCAAGCAATCCTCTTGTTTTGGCCTCCCAAATATTGGGATTACAGGTGTGAGCCACCACATCCAGCCTATATAGGTGAGATTAGTTTCTTATAGGCAGCATAGGTTAGGTAATTTTTTTTTTTTTAACCATTCAGGCCACCTCTATATTTTCAATGGAAAGTTTAATTCATTTGCATTCAAGGTTACCATTGATACGTGATGCCTTATTTGTGTTGTTTAATTAATTGATTTTTTGTATATCCTTTATTTCTTTCTCTCTTTATTGTATGTTACTGTATTTTGGTGGTTTTCTGTATTGGTACCATTTGTTTCCTTTCTCTTCCTCATTTGTATAATTGGTTTACCAGTGAGTTTTTACTTTTATGTGTTTTCTTGATGGTAAATGTTTTCTCTTCTCTTTCAAGTTCAGATTCCATTAAGCATTTCTTGTAGGACTGGTCTAGTAGTGATATTCAGCTTTTACTTGTCTGGGAAAATTTTATTTTTCCCTCATTTATAAAGGATAACTTGACTGGGTATAGTGTCCTTGACCGAAAGTTTTTTTTGTTTTCAGCAGTTTGGATATATTATCTTATTCTCTACTGGCTTGTAAGGTTTCTGCTGACAAATCTGCTGTTAGTCGGATGGGTGTTCATTTATAAGTAGTGTGCTTTTCTCTGGCTATTTTTAGTATTCTCTTTTTGTCTTTGACTTTTGACAAGTTAACTATAGTGTAACATGGAGAACATCTTTTGGAACTGTATATAATTGTGGATCTCTAAGCTTCCTCATGTTTTTGGATGTCTAAATCTCTTGCTAGAATTGGGATATTGTCATCTATTATTTTGTTAAATAGTTTTTCTAAACGAAATAATTATGTTTTCTTTTTGCCTTCTAGGATACTGAAAATTTAAATATGTGGGTGCTTTATGGTGTCCCATATGTCATGTGGGCTTTGCTTATTCTTTTGTATTTTTGTCTTACTAGGTAATTTAAAGACCTGTCTTCAAGTTCTGAGGCTCTTCTGCTTGATCTAGCCTATTGTTGAAGTTTTCGAACGTATTTATTCATTCAGTGAATTCCTCAGTTCTAGAATTTGTTTGGTTATTTCTTATGACAACTATCTCTTTGTTAAATTTTTCATTAGTATCCTAAATTACTTTTTCCAATTTCTTTGTACTGGTTTTTAGTATTCCCTTCTTGTATCTTACTGAGCTGCTTTATTATCAGTATTTTGAATTTTACCCCAGGATTTCATAAACTACTTTTTGATTCAGATCTGTTGCTATAGAATTATTCTGTTCCTTTGGAGGTATCATATTTCATTGCTTTTTCTTGTTTCCTTTGTCTTACATTGATATATGCACATCTAATCTAACAGTCACTTCCAATTTTTATGGTTTTTTTGGTAGGGGAGCAATTTTTCCTGAAGATGTATCCATGGTGTTGTTTGAGTAGGTCACTTTGGCTTTGATTCTGAGTGTAGTTTCTGATTTCTTTGGTTCTAGACAGCATCAGTGATATTTGTGATTTCTTTGGTGTGTTAGGATATATTTGTTAGTGTAGGCTTGGTGAAGTTTTGGTGGGGCCTAGGATGCCAGGTAGGCCAGTCTTTGGGCCCCAGTGGTGGCAGCAGTGGGCTAAGCTAGCCTGCCTTTGGATGCCAAAACAGTGTACAGTGACACTGGTGTTAATGGGTTTAGGCAGGCCCATTCTTGCGCCTTTATAGATGGATTGCTCAGGTGCCGGGAATGGCAGCATTGGTGTGTTAGTCAGGGTTCTCTTAGAGGGACAGAACTAATACAGGAAAAGAACTAATATATATAAAAGGGAGTTTATTAAGTATTAACTTACATGATCACAAGGTCCCACAATAGGCTCTCTACAAGCTGAGGAGCAAGGAGAGCCAGTCCCAGTCCCAAAACTGAAGAACTTCGAGTCCAATGTTTGAGGGCAGGAAGCATACAGCATGGGAGAAAGCTGTAGGCTGGGAGGCTAGGCCTGTCTCTCATTTTCATGTTTTTCTGCCTGCTTTATATTATCTGGAAGCTGATTATATTGTGCCCACCAGATTAAGGGTGGATCTGCCTTCCCCAGGCCACTGACTCACATATTAATCTCTTTTGGCAACACCACACAGACACACCCAGGATTAATACTTGGTGTCCCTCAATCCAATCAAGTTGACACTCAGTATTCACCATCACAGTTAGGCTGGGTGGGTGGGTGTGTTCTTGAATCCCTGGGCAGCAGGCGTGGTTGGTTGATGGCAGTAGCAGTGGGACAGCCCTCTGGGACCCAAGCCGTCCACACTGGCATTCGTGGTGGCTGCAATGGACTGAGTGCACCAGTTCCCAGGCCCATATGTGGTACATGTGGGTGAGTGCCAGCTGCAGTGTTGCCAGCACATTGGAAGGGCCCAACCTCAGATCCCAGAGGAGTGCTCAAATGCTAATGGTGGTGGTCTGAGCTGGGCAATCCCCAGGCCCCAGGAGGGCATGCTTGGGTACTCTGGGGAGTGGAGCCAGGCCAGGTAGACCTGTCCTTAGGCTCCCTGGGGGGTGCATGCAGGCCTTGGCTGTGATAGGCAGGAGCAGAATGATGCTGGGCTGCCAGCAAATGCTTTGTTGGGAGCAGCAGCTGCTGCATTGTGACCCTGCAACTAGGTAGAGTGGAGTTGCTTTCAGTGTGAGCAGCCATAGGCACCTGGGGGTGGGGGTTGCAGGCTTCAGTCATGCCTCAGCTCTGCTGTATTCCAGTGCAGTGGTAGCTGCAGGGCAGTGGAATTTGTTCTCAGGGTACTTGAATATGCATGGCTACTCCTTACTGGCAGCTCATGGTGGCTGACAGTGGCTCTCACCTCAGCCCCAATATATTCCCTCAGCTCCACTGCTATTCCCTGCCCACAGTCACTGCTGCTGATTATCTACCAGCAGCAGTGGCTGTGGGCAGGGAATAGCAGTGGAGCTTCAGGGCTGTGGAGATACAGGTGCTCTTGGGCTGTGTGGCAAGACCTAGCCTGGTAGAGGGCTGGGCTGTCAAAATAGTGCCACACTCTAGCTGCTTAGGACTCAGGGCTTTGTGGGACTCAGTGTGAGCTCCCACTTTGGGCCAGTACCATTATTGTGTGCTTCCCTATGTTAGTTTTAGGGCCTGCAAGGGTCACAGGGCTGTCTTGTGACTAGAATTATCGGAGTCTATGGCAGGAATGTAGACTGTTAGGGGACTCTTACTTATCCTTTCCCTGCATTTCAGGAGCCTTTCTAGGCTCCTAGCTGATCCCAGCTGAGCATACTACACCACTGCGCTCTCCTTCCTTGCTTTTGGTGTTTCCTATCACTTTTCTGTTGAGTTCCAGTGTGCTTTCTTAGATACTATATTTGAAGTACGATTATCTACTTGCTGTTTGGTTCCTTTCCATGGACAAGGCAAGTACCAAATGCATCTAATCAGCTATCTTGAAGGCAACACTTACTAATTAATTTTACCAAGTATTTAAGGAAAAATAATACCAATTCTACTCAAATTCTTTCGGAAAATCTAAGATAGTAATACCTCTGACATCTTCTGTGAGGCCAGCATTACCCCAATACTAAAACCAGGCAAATAATAAAATTGCTTGTGTACGTAGATGGAGAAATTCATAACAAAACTTTAGCAATTCAAATCCAACAATACATAAAAATGGTAATAATACATCATGATCAATTATGATTTATGCCAGGAATACAAAGTTGATGTAACATTTGAAAATGAATGTAGTTTGCCATATTAACGCCCGTGAAAGATGCCAAAGAGTTTATACTACATGATTCCACTTAGATGAAATTTGTGGAAATGCAAATTGGTCTATGTGACAGAAAACACATTAGGAACTGACTAGGGACAGAGGCCAAGGAAGGGAGGATGGAGTAGGTTGGGGACAAAAGTGATTACAAAGGGGCAAGAGAAAAATTTTGATAATGTTGAATATGTTCATTATCTGGATTGTGATGTTGGTTCACTTTTATGTATGTCAAATCTCATCAAATTGTACAGTTTGAAAATGTGCAGCTGATTTTACATTCATTATATCACAGTTAATCTTTACATGTTTTCAACAAATTATTTTATTGTTTCTTTAGAAGTCACAGTTATATGAGGCTTTGAGTTATTTAGCCACAAATGTCCTGCCATGAAACTTCTCAGATACCTAAGTCTTGTCAGGATAGTCTATGGTACATGTAGCACATTAACTTTTAAAAATTGTGGGTGGATGATAAGTCTAATGGCAATTTTTTAGGAACCAGTTACTCCTCTGAGGACACATTATAAATTGCAGAAGAAAGTAACGTTGGCATTTTTTTGTTTACAGTTAAAGACAAAAAATTCTTTGAAAATTACAACCAGTCTCTTGAAAAGTGGTCTCTCTCACAAGCTGTCACTAGTCTAATAGACACAGGAAGAATATCTGAAGCTGAAACTGTCTGCACAAAGGTATTATTATGGTGTGTGCATTGGAATTCATGAATCCTTATCTCACTTGGAAAATAAATTCAAAAATGGAATGTGTGAGGCCAGACGTGGTGGGTCACTCCTGTATTCCCAGAACTTTGGGAGATTGAGATGGGAGGATCACTTGAAGCCAGGAGTTTGAGACCAGCCTGGGCAACAAAGTGAGAGGTTGTCTTTACAAAAAATTATAAAATTGGCTGGGCCTGGTGATGTATGCCTGTAGTTCCTGCTACTTGAGAGGCTGAGGCAGGAGAATTGCTTGAGCCCAGGAATTTGAGGTTGTGGTGAGCCATGATCGCGCCACTACCCTCCAGCCTGGGAAACAGAGCAAGACCCTATCTCAAAAAAAAAAAAAAAGGGAAAGCATGTTATTTAAAGAACATGTAGTAGCATGTAGTAGTGGTGATGACAATTATGATGATAACAACTAAAATTTACTGATTACTGTACTTGCCACAAACCAGTCACTGCATTTAGCATTTTGTATTTGAACTTCACAGCAATCTTATGATATAGGTATTTATCATTATCCTCATTTTTACAGTTGAGAAAAACTAGGGGTTTAAAGAGGATAAGTAATGTGCTTAGGAGCTCACAATTAGGAATGGATAGAGTTGTGATTTAAACTCACATTTGTCTGACTCTAGGATTCAAGCTTTTATTATAGGTCTTTAAAAACAAATTTTTATTAGTTTTTGGATACCATTAGAGAGACAGTATTTTCCTTTGATTTCTGATTGCTTCCTTCTTAATGCTATATTTTCCAATATCTCTTCAGTTTTCCAAAGTTCTGGATCACATAGAATGACTGTGGAGATTGTCAAGTGGGTGACTGGAACCTACTCGGTAGTCTGTTTTTACATGTCAGGATTATAGGGCTCTATGCTTCAGGCTTTGTGAATAACTGTGTAGTACCTTGCCTAGAACATGGTAGGGGCCCAATAAATATTTACTGAATGAATGAATTAGTTTCCAAAGTGCACTTAGAAATAATGTAATGGTTAAAGAGAGTTTTGAACATGACTTTTCCTGAAAACATCATGTTTCATATGTGTAATGTTTTTGGAAAGATCAGTATACATTTTATAGAGAAGGAAGAATAGACTTTTGGAGATTTCTTTGGTCCTCAAATTTTATGAAAAGCAGAGTAATACATTTTTTCTTTTATTTAAGGAATTCCATCTGAGGTAAGTTCAGGACAATTTATACTTAGTAAACACCATAAATGTTTACTAAGCATAAATTGACAGGACAATTTGTGCTTAGTAAATACAGGAAGTGTTTACAAAGCATAAATTGTCTGTTGCTCTGTGATCTCCAATAGAATAAGTGATGCCTTATGAACCTTTCCTTGTCAGTTTGTTGTTCCAATCTCTTACTTAGAAGAAAGCAATAAAATAAATTTTAGAAATACATTTAAGACTGTGATCTAGTGAGTAAAAAGTAGAAAAGTAGGCTATTGAGAGACAAGCAATAAAGAAACAAATATTTTGGCCGGGCGCGGTGGCTCAAGCCTGTAATCCCAGCACTTTGGGAGGCCGAGGCGGGTGGATCACGAGGTCAAGAGATCGAGACCATCCTGGTCAACATGGTGAAACCCTGTCTCTACCAAAAATACAAAAAAATTAGCTGGGCATGGTGGTGCGTGCCTGTAATCCCAGCTACTCAGGAGGCTGAGGCAGGAGAATTGCCTGAACCCAGGAGGCGGAGGTTGCAGAGAGCCGAGATCGCACCATTGCACTCCAGCCTGGGTAACATGAGTGAAACTCCGTCTCAAAATAAAAAAAAAAAAAAAAAACAGAAACAAATATTTGAAACAATAGTGGGAGGACTTGTATACAGAAATTCTTCATATATACATATATATACACACACACAGGATATAAGTATATATAATACATTTATGTATGTATGTAGGTAAGTATTTTAAGAAATAAATAGTAGCTTAAGGAAATGGGAAAATAGGTCATTTTTCTTACTTGCAGTACTTGAAAACACTGTGTCTTGAAGAAAGACATATATCTTTGTTAATAAGTTAAGAAAGAAAAAATTCATGCCTCTTTTCTTCTTACACAGTATAGTTTATTCCAGTATAGAATAGTGATAGCCTTCCCACTTAATTTTATATTTTCTTACTTCAGCTATCTACTTACATTCAGAACCTAAATTTTTTAGGATATCACTTAAGAGTAAACTAAGTCAAAGGGAAATACATTGTACATTACAATAATAATAGCATTACTGATTTTAAAGGTTATTTAAATGTAAAGTTTGATATTTACAAGTTGTTCATTGTTTTGTTTATTTAGTTTTTGCTGTTGTTTATTCTTTAATAAGAAAAGGTATAAACATTCAGAATTTTATTTTCCCAACTTGGAGAATATGCCTTTTACTTTTAACATTTAAGAACCTATTTGATGTATTCCTATTTGGAATTTAATTTCTAGTTTTTAAAAAGTAACCCTGATCAGCCAGCCGTTATCTTACTTTTGAGACAAGTTCAGTGTAAACCACTCCTGGAGTCACAAAAGCCACTCCCAGATGCTGTACTTGAAGAACTACAAAAAATAGTCATGTCCAACTCAACCTCTGTTCCAGCTTGGCAGGTAAGTTTTCTCCTTTCTTATTTGATTCCTCAATTAAAACACTTCATAATATTAGTTAATGTCAGGGCTATGCTCCATCTTTATTTGGTTTGCTGTCACTCTTACCATGTTCTCTCTCAGTTTCAACAGGTAAAAGGCATTAGGGTTAAAGGAACTACGAAAGTTCAGTACTAATTTAGGATCTACTACAATGATGATTTAAAGCTTTATAAATTTTCTCACTTTAAAACAGCGATGAAAAGACTGTCTTTTATATGGGTTGATATGTTCTGGGCATTTTATAATAAGGGTACCGTAATGGTGTTTAACTCTGCCTTTAGAGGGGATATGTATAGTTTCTCCCTAACTACTTTACAAATAAACTGTATTTAGTGCTTTTAGAAATTATTTTCAGGATTAATGCTTTAATTAACAGATCATCTGCTCTTTCAGGTGGCTCTGGTTATCCATAGTAACAAATGCACAATGATCACTGTGAGCTTTGTTCTTATTGATATTAAAATACAAGGAAGCATATAATTATTTTTTATAATTTGTTATATTTATTATATATTTAATTTGTTATATTTAAATATAAATATAACATTTATAAATATTATAAATAAACATGTGTGCCCCAGAGAGAGTATCAAAGGGGCTTTTTGATATAGAAGTTTGTCTTACTATAATTGGTTTTATATTCTGATCTTTTATTATATCAGCTTCTTGATATCCCTGCTTTAGATAATTTTTTAAAAATTATCTGGCATAAAATTACTGGATTATGAAAACTAAGCCTCCCTTTTACTGTAATTCTCTTTTCCTCTTTCTTCGAGTAAGTTTTCCATATGGGATGTAGGATTTAAGGTCAACATCTAGTTGACCTTAGAATATCTAGTTAACCTTAGATACTTAATTCATGTTGATGATTTCATATTTGTTATGAAAGGGAAAAATACATTGTCAAACTAAAAAGGAAAAATTGAAGATAAATTATATCTTAAGTGTATTAGTCCATTTTCACACTGCTGATAGAGACATACCTGAGACTGGGCAATTTACAGAAAAAAGATTTTTAATGGACTTACTATTCTATGTGGCTGGGGAGTCTTCATAATTATGGTGGAAGGTGGAAGCCATGCCTCACATGGAAGCAGACAAGAGAAGAGAGCTTGTGCAGGGAAACCCCCATTTTTAAAAGCATCAGATCTTGTGAGATTTATTTGCTATCACAAAAACAGCTCAGGAAAGACCTACCCCCATGATTCAGTTACCTTCTACTGGGTCCCTCCTATAACACATGGGAATTCAAGATGAGATTTGGGTGGGACACAGCCAAATATCAGTAAGTAAAGTCTTAAGAGATTGCGCACGCGTGCGTGTATGTGTTATATAATTCACAAGGTATGAAGTGTAAAAATCTTAAAAGTACTACTCGTTAAATACGCCTGTTTAACACCTCCCATATCAAGATACAGAACAGTTCCAGCAACCCAACTCCCTCCCCCAGGCCTCTGTCAGTTGATTTTCTTACTCTACTCCCCCCAACCCCAAAACAAGGATCACCTCTATTCTGACTTCTATATAGTTTTTCCTGTTTTTGAACTTCATATCAGTGGTTTACTCTTTTGTATCTGGTTGCTTTCACTCAACAGGGTATCTGCGAGAATCATTTGGTGGTTTCATGTAGCCATAGTTTTTTCATTTCATTTTATGAACATACTATAATATTTATTCATTTTACTATTGATGAATGTTTGGGCGTTTCCAAGTTTTGGCTAGTATGACTAATGCTGCTGTGACCATCCTTGGACGACATGCTTTTTGGTGGGACATAGTATGTATGTATGGTTACTTTAATAGATCCTGCCAAAGAGTTATCTAAAATGGTTATACTAGTTTACACTTGCACCAGCAGTGCATGAGCATTCCAAGTGCTAATATTACTAGATTGTTGTGTTTTTCCCCCATTTTGGTGACTATGTAGGTAATAATATCTTGTGGTAGTTTTAACTTGTGTTTACCTGATATCTAATGACGTCAAACAACTTTTTATATGCTTATTGAGCCTTTGGATATCCTCTGTGTAAAGTGCTTTGCATAATTCTTAATGGGCTATTCCTTTTTTACTTATTGAATTATTGGAATTTATTGTATTTCCTGAATCCAAGCACATTTTTGGATATTTATTTTACAAATATTTTCTTAGATCTATGGCTGCCTTTATTAATGTTATTTTTTGATGAATAGTTTTTAATGCTAATGAAGTCTGATTATGGTTAATGCTTTATTGGGATATTCTATTTAAGAACTTTTTGCATACTCTAGGTTCATGAAGTTTTTTTCGATGTTTTATTTTAGAAATTTTATTGTTTTACTTTTCATGTTTAGATCCATAATTTATCCCGAGTTAATCTTTGTGAATATTGCAGAAGCTAAGGTTTATTTTTACCCATAATTAACACAGTACCAATCTTGGAAAAGACCATTTGGTCCCTATGGAATTATGGCAATGCTTTTATCATAAATCAGCTGTGTATGTATGGGTTGTTCAGGCCTCCTTATTATTTTCCATTGGTCTATTTGTTTTTTCTTTTGTTTGTTTTTTATTCTTGAGTATAGCTTTATAGTTAGTCTTGATATGTGGGTAATATTAAAACTTCCAACTTTTTGTTTTCCTTCAAGTTTGTCTTAGGTCTTTTGCATTTCCAAATACAGTAGTCCCACCTTATCTGCAGGGAGGATGTCCCAACACCCCTAGTAGATGCCTGAAACCACAAATAGTAATGAAACACACACACACACACACACACACACACACACACACACACACACACACAAATGTTTTTTTCCTATACATACGTACATACCTATGATAGTTTAATTTATAAATTAGGCACAGTAAGAGATCAACAACAACAATAATAAAACAGTTATAACAATGTACTATAATAAAAGTTAAGTGAATGTGGTCTCCTTCTTTCTCGCAGAGTATTTTATCGTATTGTACCACAGGTAACTGAAACCACAGTTAAATAAACTACTGTAAATTGTTAATTCTTACCCAAAAAAGCTCTGCTGGGATCTCAATTGAGATTGTTTGGAATCTACAGTTTAAATTGGGGACAATTGACAAAGTAATACTGTACTGAATATTTTCTGTCCACAAATGTAGCATATTCTTCTATTTAATTAGTTTTAAATTTTTCTCAGCAGTGTTTTGCAGTTTTCAACCTAGAGGTCTTTTATACTTTAGTGTTAAATTTATTTCTAGGTATTTGATATTTTTGTTGTTATTCCATTCTCTGTGTGTGTGTGTGTGTGTGTGTGTGTGTGTGTGTGTGTGTGTGTTTAAATTATCTCCAAACATTTAAAAATTCCGTTGATTTTTTATATGTTGACTTTTCAGCACCTTGCTAAATTCACTTATTCTTTGAATGGTTTTGAATTTTGTACCTAGAGAGTTATGCCACTTTTACCTTTTTCTTCCCAATTTTTACATATTAAGGTTTTTTGTTGATTTGTTTGTTTTGCTTTATTGTACTGTCTGGAACCTTTAATACAAAGTTAAAAGTGGTGATAAGTAAACATTCTTGCCTTATTCTTACCTCAGGTGGAAAGCATTGACTATTTTGTTACTAAGTATCATGTTTGCTATAGGTTTTTATCAATATCTTTATCAGATTAAGAAGATTTTACTCTGAATATGCTAAGAGAGGTTTTTCTTAAAAAATAATGAGTCTTGAATTTTATTGTCTTTTTTTATGGCATCTATGAAAATAATCTTTTTCTTTGTTCTATTAATATGGTGAATTATATTGATTTTCAAATATTAAGCCAACTTTGCATTCTTAGAATAAGCCCTACTTGATCATTATATATTATTATTTTTACATATTACTGGAGTCGATTTGCTAATAGTCAACTGTTGCTAAAAGAATTGGTGATATGACAACTCTTTTTTGACCTGTAATTGTTTTTTGGGCACAGAACTTACCCATAACTAAATAAAAAATTTTTGCTCCATCAAAGTTTATTGTATTTGTTGGAAGTGGGGATAACAGACTGCATAGTAAACTAAAGTCCTTTGCCTCCTTCTCCCCTTTTTGTTTCTTAGTGGCTGGCACATGTGTATCAGTCCCAAGGAATGATGAGTGCTGCAGAGATGTGTTACAGAAAGAGTCTACAAGTGGCATCCCAACAGGGCAGTTGGAGTGGGAAGCTCTCAAGTCTGTTGAGACTAGCACTGCTTGCATTAAAAGTCTGTATGGTAAGATCATGTTATAATTATGATCATGAAAAATTGATTTTTTATCTTTCTTTGACATAAAGGCTTTTTACATAGTAATATTCTATTGAGTTCCTGCTGTTTCATTGTCTTCTAGTGTGGCTTCTTGATACACTTTGTATTTTGGGTTCTTGATGGACATAGAGTAACGTAGATCTATAGACTACAGCAGAACATTGTCAATATTTGGGGAAAAAAGATTACAGTTTTAAAAGTTGAATTATAGTAAGATATACATTTTTGTTTCTTTGCGAAACAAATTGTATTAGAATTAAATTTAGCTACCCAACTGCCACAGAAATTTTAATGGTAAACATTTCAGTCATTCTCATTTCAATTCAACATTTTCTAACAGGGATTTCTAATAAATTATGACTTGACAACCTATTTTCTGATACCAATTTATGTATATCAATCTGAAAGTCTTACATGCTGATAGAGAAAATTTGTTAAGATAAATGTTTAAGTGGGAGTGAGGGCAAACTGCAGAAAAGGATATGTGATACAATTCCAATGGAGTGTTCATAAATGTGGTATGAATTTTTAAGGATGTATATCTCTAAATATATTATGTGTGTTTGTATGTGCATATGCTTAAAAGCACAGAGATATAATTATATGGAAAGATATGTAAGATATATAATGGCAGTTATTTGGAGAAGGGGACTGGGGGTTTTAAAGGATGGTAGAAGAGAATTTTTTATTTTATATCTTTTGATATAAAAGTTTGGATTTTTCATCATGTGCTTATTATTTTGTAATTAAAAGTTAAACTGTCATTGTTTTGGTTTTATAGCGTTAGAAGAAATTATCCTAGAGAACCCTAAAGTACCTTATGTTTTTACCATAGTAACCTATGAGAATGTTAGTTATTCGCTTTAGGCATTTTGAGAATGAAATATAAGAATTAGGACTTTTTTTTTTTTTTTTTACTTTGGTGCCATTGCTGTGGAGCACATTTAAGAGCTTTATGTCGGGCTATTTCTGTTCATCCTTGCTTCCTTGCTCTGTCAGTCTACCTTCGAGCATAGTAGGTTGTGAGTGAATGGATAAATAATAATGTGGCCAGCTATTTGTAGTTCACTATTTTGTTTTGTTTGCCCCATATTTATGTATAACAATGATCTTTATGACCTTGATAACTGGTGAGCTATGGAAGCCACCCATAGTACCTATTACATGTCTTTCAATTTGTGAACTGGAGAAGTAGACACTCTTTTACCCTAACTTATTATTTGTTACTTTTCAATATTATTTGATGATTTTTATTAATACTAGGAAATTAAATCTGACCATGAATAGAACAAATTAGTAATAGTTGTAATAATAGCAAACTATAGCACTTAGTCTGTGCTAGGTACTATTATAAGTGCTTTACACTTATTAACTTATTTAATAGTCACAATAACCTTATTTGACAGATGAAGAAATTACCTTACAGTTTAGTAATACCCATGTATACCTGCCGGCCTCCTGCCCCACCTGTACCAGTACAACACCATAAAAATATTTTCTCTGAGAGCCTATGTTCTGGTTCTACCATTTACTACCTGTGAAACCTTCAGCCAGTTAAACTAATTAAAGCTCTTTCTTTTTCTGTAGTAGTAGAGATCAGAATACCTACTTTGTCTTCTTGTAGCATTGTTTGAATAATGACATAATGTTTACAAGTGCCTTTGTAAACCTTAAAGCACTATCAATCCAATTTGTTCTTGAAAAACACATTTGACATCCAGTAATTATAAAGGGGATACCATATTTCTGTGGTAAACAGCTGGTAATATGGGGAAGATGGATATATTAAAATAAGACTTTTATGGAAGACTACTGTATATATGATAATATGTGATCTGGTTGTAAAACTGACAGGTTGGCTAACATACTAGATATCAGATTCCAAAATGAGATATCAGATCAAGATAGATTGCAGTAGCATACAGGATCCTCCAGTATAACCTGAACTCAACCCTGAGCCATGGGATATTCCAGTGTTCCCAGGGCTGCAGCATGCGGCTCGGAAGTATGGAGCTGAGATCCATGGCTGGCACTTGAGTTGGGGAGGAGCCCCTATCCTCAAGAACTGAGAGGGGTGAAATGCATGGGTTCCTGGGCAAGGGCAAGAATGGGGCATGCCTCCCTTACAAGGCCAGTCCAGAAAGGCTTTGGCATATCTCCCTGCCATAGCCTCTGTGCGAGAGGACCCTGCAATGCAAATCAGCTAACAAAAGTAATGTGGGCATGGTGTGAATGACCAGAGGGGGTTTCCCCGAGGCCGCAGAGCAGACCCAGTGAGGGGGTCATTTCTACCCTGTCCCTGCCATCACCACTGAAGAGCATGCCTGTGAATGCGAAGAAGTACAAAAGAGCCGTGTAGCTAAGTGTTAGCCTAGGTACCTACCATTACTTTTAAGCACTTTCTACTGGATTGCAGCCCAAACTACAACACCAAAAATTATCTTGCTAATATATGCACCTGTGAAACCAAGTGCAAGAATTCACCTACACGTAAAGATCCTGTACAGAGCCCTGGCTTTTTGGAAGCATCCAGAAATGAAGCCAACTGACTATACTCAACTTATACCACAGTTAAAGGAACGCCAACTGTATTAGTCTGTTGCATTGCTATAAAGAAATACCTGAGATTGGGCCATTTATAAACAAAAGAGGCTTAATTGGCTCATTGGCATTCCTGAGAGAGGATAAGCAACTTGGAAAGGTATATTAGACCACAAAAATGTTCCTAAATTTGCTAGAGAGGTTGACATACAAATCTAAGAAATACAGAAAACCCCAGCTATGTACTATACAAGATGATCATCCCCAAGGCACATAGTCATCAGATTTACGAAGATAATGCAAAAGAAGTCTTAAAGGCAACTAGAGAGATGGGTCAAATCACATGCAGAGGAATCCAATCAGGCTAGCAGCAGACCTCTCCGCAGAAATGTTACAAGCCAGAAGCAGAAGAGTTTGGTGCCTATTTTCAGCATCCTTTTTTCTTTTCTTTTTTTTTTCTTGTTCCAAAGCATCCTTAATGAAAAGAAATTCTGACCAAGAATTTTATATCACACCAAATTAAACTAAATAAGTGAAGGGCAAGCAAATGCTGAGGGAATTCATTGGTACTAGTACAAAAACAGACATATTGACCAATGCAATAGAATAGAAAACTCAGAAATAAAGCTGTACACCTATAACCATCTGATCTTTGACAAGGCTGACAAAAGTAAGCAATGGAGAAAGGACTTCCCTATTCAATAAATTGTACTGGGCCAACTGGCTAGTCATATGCAGAAGAATGAAATTAGACCCTTACCTTTCAGCATATATACAGACTAACTCAAGATGGATTAAAGATTTAAATGCAAGACCTCAAACTATTAAAATTCTAAAAGAAAACCTAAAAATATCTTTTTTGACACTGGCCTTGGAAAAGAATTTTTGGCTAAGTCTCCAAAAGCAATTGTAAGAAAAACAAAAATTGACAAGTAAGAATCTTGAAGGATCTGGAAGTTTCCACATTGCTAGAGGATGTGGAGAGAGTGAGAAGAATAGAATACATTTGCTAGATTAGTGGAACTGCAGATGAGCAGCGCTGGCTTCATGGGCATGTAGCCTCTGCAGTTACACAGGGTGCCATACTTGATTTTATGCTCTTTAGTTGCTATCTTGAAATTCTTGATAATTTGTAAACAAAGGGCCCTACGCTTTATTTTGCACTGAGCCCCATAGCTGTGTTGCTGGGGCTGCAGATGAGAGACTACCCATGAAGTTGGGAGTCTTTGCTAAAGCCAGTTTGGGAAAAAGAGCTTTAAATATGTGTCAACCCTGGAGAGCTTGGCACCACCTTACAATGGCACCAGTTAAATGCAAACTTCTAGTATTTTAATAGAGGCCTGAAGCTACAATTAGCCATGGGAGGTGGGAGTACTGGGGAAGGGGAACCAGCCACCTGAAACTGCCTATAACCATAACCTAGCCTGGGAGCTGAGGGAATTGGGAGGGGGGTGGGGCCAGGGAAGTATGTGCAAATATTACTTTTCGGTGAAGACTGAAGTGTTGAAAAAAAAGGACATTCTAATTGAGACTGTGTTTGTGAATGAATGTAAGAAAAATGTACGTAAGATTCACAGGGCCTAATGTAATTTACATCCAGGGAGACAGAAAAAGTATCTCTCAAATAAGTGTTAAAGAGGTAGTGGGAGAAGAAAATAGAAATGCATTCTGATCACTTTTTCAGTATGCCATTTATATATAGTAACTTTTTGCTTATAAAATCAACCTTGGGCTAACTTTACAGAGTGTTTTATATGATTTCATAGAATTTAGAGGGTACGTTATTAAAAGCAGTGATAGTTTTATGTTACTGGTTTTAAAAATATGTTAAGAATAATTGTATTAGAATGTGCCTTGCCTTACTTTCTTTGTCAGATGTACCCAAGGTCTCTCTATTTATAGAAGGTGCATCATAACCTCTGTTCTCTATTTTCACAATACTGCACTCAGAGATAATTGCTGTAATTTTTGTTATATAATTTAGTGTTTGAAATAGACCATATATATAGACTCATTATATTGACTATTAAAATATGTATTCTGGATACTTGTGGTTATGAATTCTTGGTCAAAATTGGAGATTTTTTTTAAATGAAACTTTTTAATGCATTTTTTTCTCTTTATGTAATTCACTAAAGTGTTCATCACTTTAGTTTGTTACTATTTCTTCAGAAATACTTACCTTTGTTATTTCTGAGTCAGTACCTAATAGGAGAATAAAGCTTGTAACCCAAGATAGCGATACATTAACATCTTTGCCATAAAGTAAAAAATTTAAAAGGTTTTTAGTATTGATTATTTTGATTTAATACCTTTATCTTTATCTGTTTTGTACTTTTTTATATTGGGAATTTATTACAATACTTTATTTCAGCCTTTCCTCTCTCCTTAGATAATTTTTGAAATGTAGAACTTTATATTTATCACTACCAGTTAAAGAATCAATTATGTTAAATTTAGTTTTGTATATTTGGTAGACCAAGATTGATAGATTTTATTCACCTTTTTAGTATAATAGTGCATTTTCTTTGAACAAATATGTTCGTGTTTTTTAAATGATATCTCCTGTTTGAAAACTTCCTTTATCCAAGTCTACCCCATTTTTAGCTCCTTAAGGGCAGGGATCAGATCTTAAATCATTTTGTAGTAATTATACTCCTTCTATTATTTATATGGTGACTTGCACAAATAAGTACTCAATAATCAGAACTGAATTGCATGCTTTTAAATATACCAAATCTTTGAGTTAATATTTGTCTTATATTTTTATAGGCTAACATTTCCAATGATCACTGGCCATCTTTGGTTCAAGAAGCTACAACTGAGGCCTTGAAACTTTGCTTTTGTCCACTGGCTGTTCTTTTACAAGCTTTGTTACAATTCAACCGCAAAATGGGGGCAAGGTATGAAGAATCTTGATCTTTTTCTTGTAATGCTTTTCACTTTAAATCCTTCTAGGAAACAAGGAAAGATTATAAACTTTAAAGTTTTATAACAGACGAATTTAACAAACTTTGGGGGATGTTTATATATTTTTATCTATTTTGGAAGGACTGGTTCCAGAAATCCAATAAGGGAGAAAAAAAAGTTTTGTATTTGTTTAAAAAGGCAATTTGATACGTATTTATAGGATATGAGGGGTTTGCCATGGTAGCATTTCCACTAAGAAGGCCTTGGAGCTTTTGTTCTTCACTGTGTTAAGAGGTGCCAACAGTGTGATGTGGGTTCTAGAATCAAATAAAACCAAAAGACTCCTGTTCAAGGCTGCATTGCCAAAAGTTCTTCATAATGTAATAAGCTATGAAAAAAGTAATAAATATTGAAAAGACAGAGACATGTTGTTTATAAATGATGTGATTTCTTGTCTAGAATATCCAAAAGCTGCTCTGATCAAAATATAAAAAAATCTGTGGCAACATTTATATTTGAAGTATACTTAAATTTGAAGAAAAGTACTTAAAGATCACATGGATAAAAAGTACAGGCGAGAATACTTTAAGATTTTGAAAATATCTAGTTCTAATATATATTACATATAATACAAAGCATTTATAAGTAGAGCAGTGATTGAGGAGCACAATAGAATAGAATAGGTGTGGTAGAAATGGAGGTTAATACATATAAATATGCAGCAAAAGACATATCACAAAATAGGGATGGTAGAAGATTAAGACCCTATGGCTGATTAGCAATTCCAGCACTATTTATTAATATTTATTTATTTTGGGCCATTTTTGTGTGACTAATTTTACTACGAAATGTTTTAAGCTATAATTAAACTTCCTAATGAATTACTTCTGCTCATGCTCAGTGTTGGTAACTTAGAGAGTACAAACCCCCTTCACCTCCCACTCCAATAATCTTTGTTAACACCTCCCATAATTTGTATCACCTTTAAAAACCTAGCCCAAATAAAGATGTAATCTCTGTGCTCACTATGTGATCCCTCTGCAAAAGCATCTTCAAAACAAGTTATTTAGTTCCTGCTTCAAACTAATTGCTACTTAGAAGATCCTTCTATTTAGCAGTTCTGAATATACTATGGTTTATGTTATTTTTAGCAGTATAGAAGTTTTGGAGTCATAGATGTTAGTGAATTAGGAAAGAAAAAATTAGAACACAGCTGTAAATCAGCCTGCTATTATGTGGGTTCACATTATCATACACATCCTTGAAAACATACACTAAAAGCCTGATATGATATACATAGCCTATAGTGTAAATGTTGAATATTTCTTGTTCCATTCTTTATCATCTTTGTATTATTTAGTGACTTATTTAGTTTCTGCCTATTTTTCAAAAAGATTAAAGGTAGAGCACTCAAAGGAGCTCATTAGGTAGGGACTGTCTCCCTGTTCTCTTTGGAATGAGCCTTGATTTACTTCTCTGCCATATGGGAATAACTACCTACCTAGTAAGGTTGTGAACATTAAATACAACTATATGTATAAAATTTAACATAGTACCTAGTGCATGATAAACACTTAATAGATATTAACCATTATTATTACTTATCTGAATTAAAAAATCATAATCAGGTATCACATCTGCAAAAATATGAGAAAGATAATATATGTGTGAGATTAGTATGGGAAATACAGTAATTTACATGCTTTGGACTAAATGTGTCTTTTCTTCCAGAGAGACTCGGCGTCTTTTGGAGAGAGTGGTATATCAGCCTGGCTATCCCAAATCTATTGTATCAACTGCACGTTGGTACCTACTGAGACACTTATATGCCAAAGATGACTATGAGCTTATTGATGTAAGGCATTGATTTTATTTAAAGTGCTTTTTCTTTGACTTAAGGGTTTTAGAGTTATTGTTCAAAGTTACTTCACTTTTATGATTGAATTTTTTAAAACTGAGTGTGTAATTTTTTGGCTAACAAAGGACTACAAGGTCTACTGTTGCATCTGTTGAAAATAGAGAAATATTTATGCACATTGTTTGAAGGTTAAATATATAGTTTGTATCTTACCAAGGGTTAGTTATGACATTCTCCTTTCAATGTTAGAATATCAAAAGCTGGGGCCCCTTGGCATAAATAACAGAATTGTTAAAACCTGTGTTTAAAAATAGTTTAATGTCAATTTAACCTGTATATGTACAAATGCCTTTATATGGGGAAGCTATACAGGTTGAGCATCCCTAATCTAAAAATCCACAGACTGACATGTTCCAAAATCTGAAACTTTTGAGTACCAACAACCTTGGGGTCATGATCAGTTGTGAAGCATGTTATAAGTAATTGGATGCTAACCCTAGGTGACAAATAGATTTCCTTTTTTATTTTCAGTAGTAAAATATAACAGATTCACGGATATTTTTATATGTCTCTCCATTAATGCATTTCTATGAGCTTTTTTAAGTGAAAGAGAAGGGTAGAATTTTAGGGAGCTTGTCTAGTTGCAGGACTTTATCTTTGAACCAGTGAGAACATCACAAGTTTAAAAGTTATCCATTAAACGAACTGAGGTTTATAAAAAGTTGCAAACTGCTGATCTAAAGCCCTTACCTAGATACATGACCATCTAAACCCAACCTAAACCAGTATCAAAAGTCAGTGTTTTCATTCCCTTTTTTGGCCAGAAAGGAATGACTTGACTACACTCTCTTTCATATTATTTATATACCTTTGCTATTTCTTTAGAAATGGATGGATAAAATATTTTATCCAGTTTTTGGTAAAGATTGAATTATTTTATAGTAAGGAAGTAAAGAAAAAGTCGTAAGAATGAAGCAACGAATCAAGACTTTTTCCCAAAGGAACATTTGTTTAAAACTATAGCTATTCATTCCTTTTCTTTTTTAAATAAAGGAATCTAAAGAAGTTGAAGTTTTTAAGTTTATTTAAGCAAGAAGCAAGTAAAAGTGGCCAACTGGCAAACCAAAGGAGAGAATATATGTGCATGAATTGTCACTGGTCTTGTATTACTATCACAACAATTATACTGTTTTTGGCTGCCTATATTTCTCATTTCCTGAACTCAGAATATGATACACCTCGTACAGTCTTTTTAACCCAGTTTCTCATCTTCAGAGATCTCAATGTACTGAAATTGTGGAATGCACAGTTTTTTCTTGGGTGTGGGTCGAGGGTTGGTACTGTCCTGTGCAATGTTGGATATCTAGTAGCATCCTTGGTCTGCTAGGTGCTAGTTGTATTTTTGTGGCCATTGCAGTGGAGGCAAATAGGCAGATAGGATGGAGTTGGAGGTAACAGACTTCTACTGGAATTTTTATATTTCTTTAAAAAAATTATTTGCCTTCTTCATGCCTTTACTATAAAATACATGTGACAGTTTCTAATCTACTTATGGGATGGCTCTGGCATCTAAATATATCAACATATATGTCTCCAAAATTATTTTGAATAATGTAGAGAATATACAAATGTATTGGGTTAAAATTGTCATAACTTTAGCCAACAATTTTAAAAACACGATGAAAATCAGTGAAAAGCTTTTTCAGTACCTACTGCATTTTGAAATACTGTTTGCCTTTTGGTGAAACATAAAACATTAAAGAAATAGTAAAGAAAACAGTGCTTGGAGAAAGGCATTGTAATCAACATATTGCAAACCAAAAAGGCAGACATATATGAATGCTGAGAGACAGTTCACCATGGATCTCTTGCATTCCTAGAAATCCTGTGAGTAGGAAACCTGATTACTCTTTGTTCTAGTCTGTCTTTTCAAAGATATTTGTATAGTGAACATCCTTGGAAGACAGATAGTATCTCCCTCCAGAACAAAGGGTAGATATGCATGTCCATTATAAAAGATTAAGCATCTAGGCTTGGGGTTCCCTTCTTGTAATGCAACCGACTACATATGTGAGAAACTATATCAGTCCATCCACGTCACAGGCTGAGAGGACAAGAACAGAGGCAAATATGTTGACGCTCATGCTGTTTGCAATACCTTGAGTAATAACAACTTTTCTTTGTAACCTAAGAGTCCTGTGTCTACTGGCAGTATCTACGGAACTATGACAGGCTAACTTATTAGCTTGCAAATAGAGCAAAATCTCAGGCCCTTCACAGTGCTTGACAATGAACAACCAAAAAATGTTTTAGTATGAATGATCAGCTGAAATTGAATCTTCTAGTTTGTGAAATTGGTGAAATCATGGAAAGGTTCTGATAAAGCCTAGAACCTAGAGCCTAGATCCTGAGCTGTGGTTTCAAAAGGGAGCAGTTTCATTTGAACAGTTCTATGCATAAAGCGGTCTTTTTGGATAAGGGTTTAGAGGTGACAGTATTATAAACAAAGCCACCAAACAAAACCTTTGATTTTATAATGATAGGAATCAGGCTGGGCACAGTGGCTCATGCCTGTAATCCCAGCACTTTGGGAGACCAAGGCCAGCAGATCACTTGAGGTCAGAAGTTTGAGACCTGCCTGGCCCTATCTCTACTAAAAATACAAAATTTACCCAGGCGTGGTGGTGAGCACCTGTAATCCCAGCTATTTGGAAGGCTGAAGCGGGAGAATCGCTTGAACCCAAGAATTAGAGGTTGCAGTGAGCTGAGATTGTACGACTGCCCTCCAACCTGGATAACAGAGCAAGATTGTCTCAAAAAGAAAAAGATAGCAGTCAGAATGTTGGCAGCTATACTGCCAACATGAATAAATTGTGCATCTCTCTGATGTTAGCTTTGTTCGAACCATTAATACCTGAAAAAGTGACTAAAGATTGTACAGAGTCACTTTTTCTAGTGTAGTTTGATGTTGCCTTTTCAAGACTGCCACACTTGGATTACTCAGCTTCAATGAATCAAAATACAGATATTGTTAATAAACAAAATACTAATGTTCCTGTATGTGATTTCCCACAGGTGCTGGTAAACAATGCCAAAACCCATGGAGATGCAAGAGCATTGGAACTGAATCAGAGATTGTCCTCACAATAACAATGTATTATTTTATAGTAAGAAAGCGGAAAAAAAAGCTGTAAGAATGAAGCAATGAATCAAGACTTTTTTCTGAAGCAACATTTTTTTAAACTATATGTATTCCTTTTCTAAAGGAATCTAAAGAAGTTGAAGTTTTTAAGTTAGGGATGCAATTTTTCATTAACTCTAAACCTGATTTTAATCTAAAAAAAAAATTAATTTGGAAAGAACGGAACAAAAGGAAAACCATTCTCTTGATTGCCTAAACATCATTTTTAAACCATTATTTTCTGCATCTTGCATGGTGCACAATAGAATATATCTTACTGTAATCACTTACAATAAAGCCTTAATAGCCATTTTCTAAGTAATATGCAAAAGCAGATTAGCACAGTGCACAATTTTCTTTTATTGAAAATCAAATTCAAAGATTTAATTTCTGCTATGAATTCTAGAGTTCAAACCAACTCATCATAAAATCCAAATAATTTTGTAACTTATTTATCTAGTGATTCATCTCAGATTCTGTTGAAGAAATATAATATAAATGTTGATGAGTCTAGACTCTAATGGATATGTTTATATAATTCTGAACACTCAGGTGTGTGAATGCATTTAAAAACATTAATGAAAAATAATGCTGACAATATTTAATTGATCATACAATTCCTTCAATTATGATGGAAAGACTTGAACTTTCTGAAATAAAACCAAAATACAGTGTCTTATTTTTTTGTAGTATCAGTATCAGACATAATTTCTAAATTTCAAATTTTGAAACTTGAAAGCACATTTATCTATTTTTTAAGCTCTACATATTTGAAGAAACTATGTCACTTTGGATTTATGGTTTTAAAAGTATTTTCAGACACATACATATATTATTTATTATACAGAAGATATGTGGTTGTATGGTTTATGTATGTGGCTTTTCTAAACCAGCAGCTTCAGAACGTTACTTTTTAAGATAATATAAATTGATAATATTCTATAGTTAAGTTGTACTTCAGAGGTTAATAATTGAAGTGAACTTTAATCTGGTGCTTCCCAAATCTGGCTGAACATTATAATCATTCACACCTATGCAATCAGAATCTTTAAGGAAGGGGGACAGGCCTAGGACTCTGCATTTTAAAGGTATGCCTAAGAAATACTAATGTTCATTCAGATTTGTAAACTACTATATTACTCCAATGATGATTCTTCCCTTTATTTCTTCAGCAAGTTTCAACATTTGCCATTGTCTGCTCATTTCTTTCTTGTCTTCATAACTGTCAAACTGATTCAGTGATTTTAACAACCTGGTCCACAGACTTAGCCACAGATGCACTCCAAAAGGCTGCCTTCGTAGCCCTCGTTCCCATGCCCCTGTTTCCTCAGGAAAACACATCAGCTTTTTCTTCCAGAATGAGCTGGCTCCATCTACCTAAATGCTTTATATTCAATTCTTGCCGTCCATCTGTTTTCTGGAGTGCCACTTGCTTCACAAGATTACCCTTCACTTCAGGACCATAATCAAGGGGGTAATCTTTTGACTCCCTTGCCAAATTCTGCCTTCCAGGGACCTCAAACCCAGGTTTTCTAGACTGGAGGGTTGGAAAAATGCCTGAGTTGATAGTGTCTTTTTTGCATTTATATGCACACATTCTATCTCAACTTTCATTGCCTTCTCCTCAAATTGCCACCCAGTTACCGTGAGCCTCAGATCATTTCTAGTCACATAATTTTTATAGAGCTTACTTTGTGCCACGACTAGACTAAGTGTTCTTAACATTGTCATTTAATACTAATTAATAAAGGTCAATGATGTAAAGTAGCATGCCTTATGCAAAGGAAATTTGACATGAATCAGTGTTATCAGATTCTAGAAACTCTAATACATTGGCCAGAATTTCTTTTGGGAATTAATAAATGACTTTTTTGTTTTTGCTTTTTGAGATGGAATTTTGCTCTTGTTGCCCAGGCTAGAGTGCAGTGGTGCAATCTCGGCTCACTGCAACCTCTGCCTCCCGGGTTCAAGCAATTCTTCTGCCTCAGCCTCCTGAGTAGCTGGGACTACAAGCATGCACCCCACACCTGGCTAATTTTTTGTATTTTTAATAGAGACGGGGGTTTTCTGTGTTGATCAGGCTGGTCTTGAACTCCCGACCTCAGGTGATCCGCCTGCCTTGGCCTCACAAAGTGCTGGGCTCCCAAAGTGCTGGGCTCCCAAAGTGCTGGTATTACAGGTGTGAGCCACTGCACCCAGCCCCATACATAAGTTTAGAGAAATTAGATTTCCCAAAATACCAATATTTAATATTCATATTAGTATTTCATTACTTTTGTTATATTTTGAGAATTGTAGTGAATTTTTTGCCATTTTTATCCATTTTTTTTATTATTGACTAATTAGATGTTTATATACTAGTTTGACATCTGATAATTTCCTATGGGGAAAACATGTTTCAGCTTCCAAGTAAACTTCTGAAACACAGTCTGTTTGTTTGGGGTCACTTGTCATTTTTCATGAAATGTCCCTTTTAATTTCTGGTCAGGAGAAAGCAATCTAAAATGTCACGCTCTCTTTTCACTTTACAAAAAAGAGCTATTGGCAAACTTCCTTTAATTTGGAATTCTATACAGAATAGGATTAGATAGAAATACTCATACATTAAGGGAATTAAAAGGCGGTTATTTAAAACAGTACAAAACAGGTAAATATTTACTAGTTTGTAATATATGAATATGAAATATACATGTTTGGTTGCTGCATAAAACGTTTGATACCTGCTTTGGGAAAGTTTTACAGGAACACAAAAATGAAGCATATTTTGGAGTGTGAGTGAATGTGGCTTGCAGATCCATTTTTGTCTTGGCACGTTAAAAAATGTGGAAACTGTTTTGACAAGGTTGACCCTTGTCTCCCTAGAGGGCTTCCTTTCATTCACTTTACTTGTTAACGGCTAGAAAACTTCTCAGGCTTCCATGCTGCTTGTTGGAAGGGACAGCACTCAGCTGCTGGTTATAAATTGACCCTCAGTTTGCAGGAGAGGTTTTTTTTGTTTTGTTTTGCTTCTATTTTTGTACTTTAAAAGGATAGATTTGTGTATTATATACAGGTACAATAATTTTTCCACTTGTATATTTAAAGACTTTTCATACAGATGAAATCAAAGTCCAAAAACTCCCTCATTTAGAGTATGTGCCCCATGCCCCATTTTTGGTTTAGAAAATGTAATTAGTCTCATAAGATCTGTTGTAACTCCAGACCATTCATGGTGAATAGCTGTCCCTATGCTACAATAGTGGGTTTTTTTTTTAATTGGAAAATTTTTGAATAGCAGTGTTTTAAATCCCAGTGTGCCTAAATAAACATACTATACAACCATAATATTTTTATAAATGGTAAACTATCTTTAGACTTCAAAATGTTTTGAAGTAGGAAAATTAAGGTTAGTATCTCTTTAACAAGAGCTGTTATGATACATTTGAAATATTTTTTCTTGCTAATTATAAACTTAGAGTTGAAAGTGGTTGTCTGTTTTAGGGAAGGGAAATGGTGCCCACAGAATAATAATTAAAGTTGGAGTATCCACCTGAACAAGGGTTGCATTTCATGTTATATCACTGGACTGTTGAACTGTCATGTCATAAGGGTTTGAATCAGTTAAAAAAAAATGTTTATTTGGGCTTCATTCTTTACCATATACTTTCCCCGTTTATAATGCTTATTATAAAAACATTTAAATTACATTAATTTTTCTGGAGATATGGTGAATATGAAAACAAAATACTTATCTTACAGCTTTTTCTTATAGTAGGCAGAATAATGGCCCACAAAGACATTCATATTCTAATTCCCTGCTTGTGACAACATGGCAAAAGGAATATAGTTGTTTATTTGTATAATAGCTAATGTATGAACCACTGTCACCCAGCATGCTACTGACAGCAGTATCACCAACACCATTGTTAAGTACTTCACTCAAATTCTCTTTAAAATAAACCACATTAAATTATACTCACAAAACTTAAGTGATACGTTTCAAGCTGAGTTTCACTATTAAATGGGTATGTGACTAGATAAGTCTTGGCTTTTAGTTTTTATTTGAATTTGTAAGATAGGCCTTGAGCTAGGTTTCCAATGGCAGCAATCTGTCCTAAGATCACCAGAGTTTTCCAAGTCAGAAGTAAGCTGAAACAAAATACTGAAATAAACTGCTTGGTGCAACACCTGTGAAGCACAACTCTGGCTTCAACTGAGCAGGAACACTTCTTACAGTAGAACTTCTTTGCCGAGAAACCTATACTGGAGAAGGAGGTGGGTAAACTGGTCTTGGTTCTTGGTGCTAAGACTCTAAGAAGGAAAGTCGTCCTACATTCAGAGAGTACTTTAATGGAAGCCAGCATCTCTGAATGGCTGAAAGTAATGACATGTGCTTGCTGCATGCCAAATGGGTAACACTTCTTACAGAAAGACTATCCACATTAAATACAACGTTTACATTGTTTTATTATCTGACTCCCAGGTGACAAATAACTTGAGTTTCTAAGACCTTGCCTTTTTAATGCATTTCCTTCCCTTTGATCATATAAAATATAGTCATTAATCTTCAGGGAAGAAATCCTACATACTTTAGTATCAAGCAGTCGAGTCTTTCTGGAAAACATCTATAGGGTGGCTTAAAAGTTCTACTCTTAGTTTGTTCAATTTAATAGATAAAGGGAGAATACTTTACAAATAGTCTTTATTTACATCCTAGCTTCAGAAGTTTGGATATCAGCCTGCGAAGAAGTTAAGTCGTGTGGAATGAAAGACAAGTACAGGTTTGATCTTCACAGAATGAGTTACGTGTTTTCTTGCCTATACACATTCCTGGCAGTGCTAATTTCTCTTGTGTTTGGGACCCAAGTGTCTCTGTGCACAGGAGAAAAGCCAGATGGAACAGAAGGTTTTTTTGTATGGAAGGAGGAGGTTAGGCAGAGAGAAAAAGCATTGCTACGAACGTAAATTTATATTGTTATAAGCAGCTTCTATTAGGTAGAAATAAATATATTTCTGAATTGTCTGAGGCCAGCTTTCCAGTGCCTCAGAACAAGCGTTATGCATATGGTTGGAAGGTTCTTCTAAGAAACAGATTAAGAATAAAGAATCAACTCATGGAACCCAGATTTAAGTAAACGGTGAATAATTTGTGAATATTGGGAAATATGTAGACAACATAAAGTTTTCATGTTAGTCAAGTAGCTTCTAAGAAAGCCCAAATAAGATCTAGTATTGCAAAGGATCTTGATACCCATTTGCTTCAGGAGAGGAGCTTTTTATGCTTATGAGGTAGTAATCATTACCCATGAGGGCTTCAGCAACCAGGGATAGATTGAATGCCTTCCACATGCCAACCTCTTTACACTATTGCCTCATTTAATTTTCACATTGTTTTTTATAGTGGCTATTGTTTTACAGACCAAAAAAAAAAAAAAACCTTTAAAGAAGCCTCAGAGAGATTATCTTTTCTAAAATTATCTGTATTTTTAGGCAAGCAGAATCTAGCCCCAAAGATAGTTTCCAGTACTATTGTCAAATGTTGTTAATGATTGCTGCCAACTCAAAGAAGTGTAAAAAAGTTGAGATGTGTATCTTTGAGACTGTCTCAGTTATCTTACCAACCTTTGTTCAGATGCTGCCATTTACCTCTTGGTACTACCTGAATTCTAGGAGGAACCTTAGGAAGAAGGGAACCTCCTC